ACTAGCCTCTTGATTTGAATGAATCACTTCATTTATGAACAGATGTTTCCATAACTAGGGGGCACTGATACATTTTCAGATATTGTGTTCACAACCCTCACCTAATGAGCAAAGGGTTAATTTTCCTCAAGACTTAGTGGATGAAAGATTGTCCAGGTAAATAACTGCAGAGGACCTTTAATGTGAGCATTGACTAGCATCTCTAGAGTCAGAGTCTAATCCAGGATTCAGAGGGAGGGAATAGATGGCACCAAAATGAAGCTAAAAGGCAATAAACTAGAGACACTGGGGCTAAAGTCTGAGAGGTTGTTAGGGTCCAGAGATTCAGTATGATTCTGCCATTGGGTGAACAATGGATAACTGGGTATTAAATTATCAAACCAAAAGTACCTTAGGACAATGATTCACAAAAAGAAATTCCATTATACTCCTGTAGAAACAGACATGCTTGATGAGAATTGGTGTTTTTTAAACGTTTTACATTCACTGGAGCTCAGTCCTGTTAGCTATGAGTTTTTATGCTTCTTACTACTGGAGTTTAGTTGGGATGAATATTTACTCCACAAAGTTTAGTTTTCCTCAAGTCAACCGGTGTTACACTTTAATTTTGGTTTTCTTGTTAGTGACCAAACTTCCTCTGCATTAAGCAGAATGGGCAGGCAAGTCTATTTCAGTTGTATATTGGAGAATATACTTGTGAGAGAAGTTCAAGGGCAGTGGGAACCTCAAATTTGCCATCAAGCAGGAAAACAGGATTCCTTTGGACATTAGGAATAAACATTTTCCATTTTCATTTGTCACAGTATTTTGTAGTTTTTGGTTTTGTTCCAATGTCAGCGCAGGGGGAGGGACTTAGAAGATAACCCCTGGAGGTCCCTGCCAGCCGTACATTTCTATGATTCTATGAATGTAGGCACATGAATTTAAATGCTATACAGCAGCATAAAATATAATATAGGTTTTTTTAATGAAAAGTTATTTTGAAACAAAAAAAAAAATCAAAATGTCTCTAAACAAATTGTTTCAAAATGAAATTTCATCAAAATCAAAATTTTCCCTGCCCATCGTTTTTGATTTCAACAAACCAACATTTTCCAATGGAGAAAATTTTCCACTCTAATTTTAACCTCGGTTTGTCAGTGAGTTAAGATAAATTTTGATTAAGTCCTACATTTCTTAGTAGGGGTGACCAATCCACTTGCAGCATAAGAACTGAGGCCCAGATTACCTCACTCATCGTGAACCCCCATGAAGAGAGAAGTGGGAGGAAAACTCCATAGATTCCCCTCTCTGATGGAGAGATATGGGGAAACTCAGAGTCAGGCGGTCAGGGCTCCCACAACTGAATTAGCCATGGGTCCAGCACCCAAACCTCTGGGACCCACAGGAGGCAAAAGCCATCCACAAAAAGATGTCTGGCCCCTCTGACTCTCAATTTGTGGAGGCCATTTTGTTGGTTGAAGAAACAGATTTTCAAGCAGGACAGCAACTTACCATACTCTTCCTTAGTGTATTTGATTCAAAGCCGACAGTCCTGTAGTTTTTAAATCTTATGAGGAGCTAGTGCACGCAGACCATCATTATTAGTTAGTTAGCATTTATATTAGGGTAGTGTCCAGGAGCTCCCATTAAGATCCTGCTGTGCTGCAAACAACTGCACCCCGATCCTACAAAGGGCTCTGTATAGACAGATCCCCCTGAATATGCATGGAGCTCCATTAATTTAAATGGGGTCTGTCCACATAGACTCCATAGCAGGATGAGGGCCATATAGGCAGACATAGGCCCACACATCTTCATCAGTCATGCTTTTGTACTATTCTTTATTTACCTCAGCCCATTCTGTGGAACCTAATAGTCCAAATTCTTCTGCATCCCAGCTAGCAAAAATAATAGTTCTTTTAGGTCTCCAACCTGTAATCACACAGTTAAATTTGACTTAAAGAGAAAAATTCTATTAGAATTCTGAGTCACTTAAATAAAAATTAGTACATCATGGAAAATGATGTATAATATGTATCAGTGAAAATTTGTCACCCCAAATTCTGCAGATCAGCACATCCACTGCAATATTTTTATTGTAAAGGCAAAAATCTCCGAGCACATAACGTTATACAGGCAAGGAGAGCAGAAATTCAACCAACTCACATCATATGTGATGTTAAGCTCATTGCAGATATGTATGTTTAGGAGCTCCCCCAGTTCCTCACTCACATGCATGTGCACACACATATAAGAAGCTGCAATACCTATTATGTGAAATTCAACCCTATGCAGAGGGAAAACAAAGTCTATGCATTTGCTTATTGGTAAATTCCACTTAATTTCTCAAAATAGTGTTTTTCATAGACCTTGTGTTTCACCTTCTCCATTTACAATGAATAAGTTACCTTCCATCATCATTTTGCCGAAACTCCGAGCAACTTCTTGAAGAACAGCTGCGCCAGTGGTTGGATCAATCCCACCAAATACCCAGGAGTCTCTGTGTCCTCCCAGAATAATATATCTGTCTGGAAACAAAGATACAGAATCAGTCTTTAATTCAGAATACACTTGGGGTACCTATAATCCAGTCTTTCCCTTTAACCTCATTCCCCACCTTCCCAAACCACAATGAAAACTAATTTCATTGTTTTTAAAAAGCCCAGCCTATCAGCCCTACTGATCTTGTTGCAGTTTACAATCTGACACAAAAATGTTTTTTTAATTCCCCCCCCCAGTTTACAACCTTTGTACCTACATAGACTTGTTTTAAGAATCTTTTCATCCCTTATCTTGGAACCACTGTTAGAATAAAATTACCTGGATCTGTCTGCTCAATGATGATTTGAGCAATTTTAGACTCTGTGATCTTGAGATGGAACCCAGATACAGAATTCAAATCAGAACACAAAATCAAATACCAACCACCCCAAAGTTTGTGTCCAGGGTTTCAATTTAAGCCACTATAAAGATACAAGCAGCTGAGAAATGTGGATCTAGACCTTGGTTCATATCTTGAATCTCCAAAGTTCAGGATGTTGTGGGATCCAGTACTTTGTTCAGCTCATGACTAGTCCATTATACTTTGTGTTGCACTAGAATATGCTGGTGTAAGACTGTATGAATGATGTGCTAGAGACCCTATAGAAAATGAGATGTCTCGCGCAAGCCTGTCCCAGTGAGCTGTTTATTGTAGCATTCTCATCTGTGTACCACTTACAGATCTCTTGGGGGAACATTGTGATGGGAGGGACAAGATGACCTAGTAAGTCTTTTCCAGTTCCAAATTTTATCTGATTATCTCTGAAAAGTTAAACCTCATGCCACCTAAGAACATCTTCACCAAATGCAAAAAGGTCACCTGGTTCCTCCGCTCCACTGATAGTGCCAATAACATTGTAAATTCGTGTTATTTTGTTGTGAGTGTGGACATGCATTCTGACCTTTCTGAAACACAAGCAAAATGAAGTAGTTATCCATGACTTGAGGAGGCATTTACTAGGGTTGGAACAGTGATAGATGAACCAATTTTAAACATGTTTTACAAACACAGTTAGAACAAGCCCGTGTACTTCTGCAATAGCCATTTAAACACCGTAGTGGAATGAGGTTGGATTAGCACCCACAAAAGGGTTGGGTTGTAGAGGGGATGAATTGTATTTTAGTTCCCCAAAATAAATGGAGTTTTTGCAGAGAGGAATGAATAAGGCCAAGGTAAGAAAAAATGTGTTTAGATATTTACGATTCTCTTGATGGCGAAATTTAAGAAAGTTAATTAAAGGACTAGTTACCATGGTCAAACTATCAAGAAAACACTGATTGAAACTTAAACTATAAAAGTTGAGAATACAGTCCATGTGTACAATTTTATCTTTAAAGCTTTAAGATTATAATCCAGCAACACTGGTCAACCAATTCCCAGCGACTTGCTATTTGACCTTGGCTAACATCTCAACTTCCCCATCTGTATAACAGGAATAATGAAACCTTATCTCTAGAATAAACTGTTTTACAATCTATGAATGAAATTACTTATACATGGCAAATGATTATCATTTTACAGGATCTATACCAGGGCTGTGCTAGTTCCTTATTTTTATTTGAAACTGAAGGATGACAAGAAAAATTCCACCAAACACATGAATTCCTAGACTTTCAAAGTTCTTTATGAAATTTGTTACAATGGTTTCAAAGGGAGTCATGCCAATAATATCTCCTTGCAATACTTTTAAGATGGGGTAGATTAACAGCAGGCCAACAGATCACACTAAAAACAAAAAGTAATAACTGAACGTATATTAAATTTTGACCCAAATGATTGGACAATATTTAATAAGGGAATATGTTTTTAAAAATCTCATAAGAACTTGCTTCTTTCCTTTGTAGAAATATGATGCGTAAGTCTGATTAAATGGTAACTGGAGAAACAGTCATTAAAATTGCATGAAACAACTGAACGGTGAAAACCTTTGAATAAATTGAGTATTTCTCCAAGAACATTAAGACAGCAGATCAAAGTGATCAAGCTTTGCCAGACCATTAAAAAAATCATTCATCTATTAGGAACTCTGTAAAAGACAGGGAATGTTCAGTCCTCTCTCTCTTTGTGAAACAAAACACACATTTGTCTGCCCTGGGCAAAAATCCAACAGGGTCTCATTTGAAGTTATTTTCTCAATGGTAAAGCTCTCTAGCTGTCAAAACCAATACCTTCTTCAGCACAACTAATGGATTTTTGCCCAGAAGGGAAGCTAAGCCCAAGGCCTTGAGCCTGCAAAGAGTTAAACATGTAATAATCCCACTGGACTAAAGAGGACTACTCCCATCCATAAAGTTTACTCTGGTGCACAAGTGCTTGCAGGATCAGTGCCCTGAGCTTGTAGTATAGTGAAACCATGGGAGCTTTTCCAAGAACTGACTAAAAAGGACACTGTCAAGTAGGTTAGGATGTCAAAAATCCTATGAATAAGTAAGTCCTCAAGAAATGTGATTAGCAACCTAATACATGTTCTGTTCATTTTAATATTGGTTTTTCTCTCATTATACAGTTTATTGCTCTCCAGTGTGCTCAAAACATTTTGGATCAGATCCTCAAAGGTATTTAGGTGCCTAACTCCCACTGATTTCAATGGGAGGTAAGTGCCTAAATATCTTATGGATCTAGGCCTTTGTCCCTCTAGCAGGGGTACTACTCCCTTAAGGAACAGTCTGGCGCTTATAGCTGAAGCAAGTCTGGGTATATTCCAGGCTCCCTCTGCCCTAACCTGGGCTATTTAAACAGGAGGAGGAAACTAGAAGGCATGCAGCTTCAGAGAGCGGAAATGATATAGCTAATGAAATATTACTGTTAACTGATTTGACACACTTGGGTGTAAGCACAGTAATAGCATGGACCCAGTGCATGTAGGGATATTAGGCACTGAGCTGGCAGACAAAGTGGCAAAAAATGCTGTCAAACACCAGTAAGTTGATTTGGCAATCCCTTTAAGAAAACTGGAATTTAAAAATCTAATTAAAAATGAGTTTAAGAGAGGAATGGCAGGAAATACGGGAAAAGAAATGGAGGGGAAAAGATTCCATGAAATATTCCCAAGAGTTGAAAATGCTGATATACTCCACGGCCCTGAGAGAAAGAGCAAAGTGGCTCTATTTAGAACTTTAACTGGCCATTGTGGCTTAGCTAGTAATTGGTTTCTAACAAACATAAAGATGGATTATGTGGGATATGCAAGATCCAGAAAACAACTGATTATCTCCTTTGGGAGTGTGAAGAGTGTATCATCAAAAGGGGGTATTTATATGAAAAACTTAGAGGCCTTAAAGTCAAAATTCTCACTGCAATGCCTAGTAAGAGCATCAGGAAAATAAAGCCCTATTAAAAAATAAAGCAATATTCTTGAATTAGCTGTGATGTCCAGTGCTTGGCAGTCATAGACTCAACAAGTGAGTCTGCTTTGTCATAAAACGTAAGGGGAAGGAGGAGGAGGAGGCATGCAGATTACAATGGTTGGTGGTCTTTCTCTCAGGATCTTGGGGACTAGCATGACCAGGCCCCGAGACTTTATTTGCTGACTCAGTTCAGGAGCTCTGAACCAGGGCCCCGCAGTAAGGGCCCTTATGAACTTTGTTAAGACTGATCCTTCCCTGAGACCTTCTTAAAGGGGACATTTGTTTTATTACTTTGTTTTGGCTTCCCCTTGCTTGGATCCTTTACAGTCCCCTTTATCTCAAGTGTCAAATTTGTTCTGTCGACATTTTTGTTTGCATGTTTTCTAAATCTTCAGTAAGTTTTAACACACGCATGAAAAAAATCCAATTAAGACTTCAATTTTTTAAATTTGAACATGTCCTTGCAGTGTTGGAAAAAGCACATCATTATGCCCTCCTGTTCATGATCTTTCAAACCACGTCCTGTCCCACTGGCAATGGAGTACTGTCCCTTTGTCAGTCAATGACAGCCACTGCTTACATGGCACATTACCATAGTAATGCATTTTTTAGCTTCATTTAATGCAGTTTAGTGGCTGGAAGCTAGGAGGAGGAAGCATCACCATGTGACCAGAGCAGCTCTGTGCAGACTATCAGCTCCTTGGCCCATAGTTTGTGACCCTCTCTGCCAGTGCCAGAGAGCCAAAAAATGAAATTGACCAGTTTTGTTTCACTATACAAGCTGAGTGAAGCATAAAGAGCAAACACAATATTGCAAACCCCGAGCATTCAAAAATATGAGTCACAGCCCCAAAAATATGAGCAGATTTTTAAAAGTAATATGTTTTGGGTTCTTTTTATTTCCCTTCTTGGGTTCACATTTCCAAGATTTTCTTTGCAACCAGAAAGGCTAGAAACTTTGGAGAGCAGCTGATCTCTGGGCCCCAGCCACGCCCATACTCCATAGCTTTAACTCCAAGGAATTCTCATAGAAGGCTTCCATGGGACTAGGGAAAAGGTGAAGGCAAGAGACCCACTGCAGAAGTTGTGCTCTGCTCTTCCACCACCATAGATTACCAATTTGTCACCTTGGTCTTCAGAAACAGAAGGGAAGAAAAGAGCCCAGAAAGAGAAAGGTTTTAAACATTTACTTTTCACTTGACAGTGGAAAAAAGTTAATAAAAAGGCTAGTTACTGTTGACCAATGCTAAATTTTGAAAGTGTCAAGAAAATGTAATACAAGAGCTGAGAAGGGAGATATACATGGCCTCGTTCAATGCCTGTTGAAGTCAATGGCAGTGTTCCCATTGTCACTGAGCAGGCCCATTGTTTTAACATTTTATCTTTAAACCCTAAAGATCCTCATCCAATCATACTGCCTATTTCAGAAGGAAGTTAGTTTCTCCTCTAAGCTCCAAGATGTAATATTTCTCAGAATCCTACTCTGAAAGGTTGTGTTTGGTTTTGCGGTGTTCAATAAATAGGCAAAAGTGCTCAAACAGACCTTATAGAATAGCTGCCTGCAAATCCAGGCCCAATGTTGTAAGACACATTGAGGTTTCCCCTCCAGCTATTGTCTGGTGCTGCAGGTCCTCCCAGGATGCTGTTAAGTGAAAACCAAGACAAACACAGTTGGCCAATTTGCTAACAGTAGAAGTCTCCCCAGTGGAACAGCACACCTGAAAATGAGTGTGAGGAAGGATTACAAAGCTCTAAAAGATTGTGTTGCACAAACTGTATGTGCAACCATTTACTGTTTGTTAAGAGGGCCCGTAAATTAGCATAAACTCTATTAAAGTGCTTAGAAATTTCGTAAGCTAAAATGAGCGTTGAGTTAAAGCAGAGAAACTAATAAAATAAATTCCTGGTCTTATCTCTCTTCTGTGGCACATCTAGAGAATACACTTGTGCTCCACTTTGTTTTTCAGTAAAAGACTATGAAGTGGGTTCTAGCCCACGAAAGCTTATGCCCAAATAAATGTGTTAGTCTCTAAGGTGCCACAAGGACTCCTCGTTGTTTTCAGAGCCAACAGCGGTTTGTATTTCTGTAGCATATGTTGCTACTATTATGTGTGTCTGCGTGTAACACACAAAAGCAATAAAAAAGGGCATCAGTTTTACTATCTTTTAATGCAAAAAAGGCTTTTTGCAGTGTGCACACGAATACCGAAGCCAAGTACAAAGGATTGAAGCTTACCTACCGTAATAATATTTCTGCATCATGATATCCAATGGGATGAACTGGGATTTTGGGAATTCCCACTCCCTCATCAACTTCAGACCTGAAGGTGTATTCTGAGAAACCAAGAATATATTGGAATATCAAATTTTGCTGTCCTCATCAGCTTGCCTTTTAAGTTGAGTTGTTTTTGTAACAATGAAGAGTCCCACAGTCACATCTAGGATCAATGTATACTGATCCCTACAGTCATCCAGCATCTTGTCACACATCAGGGATTAGTCCCACTGACTCCAGTGGCTACTGCTAGTTTTAATGCAGAACTTTCACTCCATATAAACAGAAGTTTGCAGTGTTTTTCTACCTGGCATTTATGATCAGCAAAGAAATATACATCCAAGCAAGGTTATTACTCCTCTATGATGGTAGGCTATAATCCAGTTTCAACTAGTCCTCTTGAGAAACATAGTTCCTTGCAAATCTCAATAAATCCTAACTCATATCTACTGCCTGGCCTATCCACATCTTGATTTACAAGTGCTATAAAGCTTGGATCATATGCAGAGAGATATTGGCTGGCAACTGTTTTTGCTTGAGAAAGGCCAGTTGGAATGATGTGCAGATAGAACCTGCTCCACACTAGGAAAATAAACTCTTGTTGGAAATTCTCTTAAACAGCAAGTCTTTTTGCATGGGTACGAAACACAGTTTAATTGCTAGTGACAAGACCCTTTTCGATACCAGCAAGTGTCAGATGTTTAGAGCTACAAATCTGTCACTCACCTTTTGCTGGATAACCTGGCGTGAGAGGATCTCCTGCCCCATTCAGATTTAACACATTCCCACGCTGGACTCCACCTCCAGGAAGGTTCCAGCCATTTGGATAAGGATCTACTCCAGGGGCGCAGTAGTCAGCAGGGTCTGAATACAGAATAATGCCTTTGGCTCCAGCTAATATGGCATTTTTAACCTGCAAAATTATATGTTTTAAGAAATGTCAAAATGTTTGTATTTGGCTAAGGGCTCTGCAACACGCCACCAATTGGGAGACACTTCAGAACTCTCATGTGGCAGAGCTGGAATCATTGACCCAAGGGAAGTGTATGTCAAAGTGCAGCATGACCTCAAGCACTGGGCATAAGACTGAATCAGGAGAACCAGGTTCTGTTCCCAGCATAGCCAGATTTGCTGTATGACCTTAGACAAGTTATTTAACCTCTGTGACTCAGTTTCTCCAGCTGTCAAAATGGGATAATGACACCTACCTCTTGAAAATGCTTTGAGATCTATGGCTGAAAAAGGCAGTAGTGTTTACTGGTTGTATGGGCTATTAAATCCCCTAAACTAAACTCTTGCAAGCCCCTTCTGAGAAGTTTGCATTCATCTCAGTCAAAGTTTCAGTACTCCAATACAGCCATCTCACTTTACTGTTTTGCAAGTCCCTGTTAATACACATGATAAGCATACATGATTTTTGGATCAGAACTGGCTCCCGGCACTCACATGTTCTGGTTTACAGTAAAATAAAGAATAAAATTTCTCTTTGGAAGGAACTTCTGGCTTCTGAAGCAAGGGTTTAATGCTTAATCTGGCCCGCACTGACATCAATAGCAACACTCCTATTGATGCCAATGTAAGGAGCCTCAGACCTTTAATTTACTAATCTAATTATGATTTGAGAGAGAGAGAAACAAACAAATGAACAACAACAACAAAACAACCCCACAACACTCACTTTGTTTCCTCTGAAGATTTTCCCATATCTGGCAATGACAATCTTTCCAGTACAATTAATTCCGATCTCTCGCTCTAGTTTGAAAAAATCTTCTGTGCGGCCATAGTTCACGTACACCAGATCTGCCTATCCAAGGAAGAAAGAAGGCTAGAAACTAAAAATTATACGGTCATAACTGTTATAAAATATCTGTTTTGAGAATCATGCAACTTTATTTATTGAACATCTGTTATATAGTACCCAATATTTGCAGTTCTACAGGCTTGATCCGGCTCCCAGTGAAATTAATGGCAAAACTCTCCCAAATTATTTTTTTAGAAAGGCTTGTTTTATTGATGAACTCTCTATATAATCCCATGTTTAGAAGCATCCTCATTATCTGATGTTGAAAACTACAACACTGGATTGTTCTTCTGGCAAAGCATGTGCGAGCTGTTTATGGCATGAGTAAAGAAAAGAGCGCTATTCCTAACATGTGGCTGCACAATAGGTAGAATCATAGAATCATAGAATATCAGGGTTGGAAGGGACCTCAGGAGGTCATCTAGTCCAACCCCCTGCTCAAAGCAGGACCAATTCCCAACTAAATCATCCCAGCCAGGGCTTTGTCAAGCCGGGTCTTAAAAACCTCCAAGGAAGGAGACTCCACCACCTCCCTAGGTAACGCATTCCAGTGCTTCACCACCCTCCTAGTGAAATAGTGTTTCCTAATATCCAACCTAGACCTCCCCCACTGCAACTTGAGACCATTGCTCCTTGTTCTGTCATCTGCCACCATTGAGAACAGCCGAGTTCCATCCTCTTTGGAACCCCCCTTCAGGTAGTTGTAGGCTGCTATCAAATCCCCCCTCATTCTTCTTTTCTGGAGACTAAACAATCCCAGTTCCCTCAGCCTCTCCTCATAAGTCATGCGCTCCAGACCCCTAATCATTTTTGTTGCCCTCCGCTATACTCTTTCCAATTTTTCCACATCCTTCTTGTAGTGTGGGGCCCAAAACTGGACACAGTACTCCAGATGAGGCCTCACCAATGTCGAATAAAGGGGAACGATCACGTCCCTCGATCTGCTGGCAATGCCCCTACTTATACAGCCCAAAATGCCGTTAGCCTTCCTGGCAACAAGAGCACACTGTTGACTCATATCCAGCTTCTCGTCCACTGTGACCCGTAGGTCCTTTTCTTCAGAACTGCTACCTAGCCATTCGGTCCCTAGTCTGTAGCTGTGCATGGGATTCTTCCGTCCTAAGTGCAGGACTCTGCACTTACCCCTGTTGAACCTCATCAGGTTTCTTTTGGCCCAATCCTCTAATTTGTCTAGGTCCCTCTGTATCTGATCCCTACCCTCTAGTGTATCTACCACGCCTCCTAGTTTAGTGTCATCGGCAAACTTGCTGAGAGTGCAGTCCAAACCATCCTCCAGATCATTAATAAAGATATTAAACAAAACCGGCCCCAGGAGCGACCCTTGGGGCACTCCGCTTGAAACTGGCTGCCAACTAGACATGGAGCCATTGATCACTACCCGTTGAGCCCGACGATCTAGCCAGCTTTCTATCCACCTTACAGTCCATTCATGCAGCCCATACTTCTTTAACTTGGCGGCAAGAATACTGTGGGAGACCGTATCAAAAGCTTTGCTAAAGTCAAGGAATAACACATCCACTGCTTTCCCCTCATCCATAGAGCCAGTTATCTCATCATAGAAGGCAATTAGGTTAGTCAGGCACGACTTCCCTTTGGTGAATCCATGCTGACTGTTCCTGATCACTTTCCTTTCCTCTAAGTGCTTCATAATTGATTCCTTGAGGACCTGCTCCATGATTTTTCCAGGTACTGAGGTGAGGCTGACTGGCCTGTAGTTCCCCGGATCCTCCTTCTTCCCTTTTTTAAAGATGGGCACTATATTAGCCTTTTTCCAGTCATCCGGGACCTCCCCCAATCGCCATGAGTTTTCAAAAATAATAGCTAATGGCTCTGCAATCTCATCCGCCAACTCCTTTAGCACCCTCGGATGCAGCGCATCCAGCCCCATGGACTTGTGCACGTCCAGTTTTTCTAAATAGTCCCGAACCACTTCTTTCTCCACAGAGGGCTGGTCACCTTCTCCCCATATTGTGCTGCCCAGTGCAGCAGTCTGGGAGCTGACCTTGTTTGTGAAGACAGAGGCAAAAAAATCATTGAGTACATTAGCTTTTTCCACATCCTCGGTCACTAGGTTGCCTCCCTCATTCAGTAAGGGGCCCACACTTTCCTTGACTTTCTTCTTGTTGCTAACATACCTGAAGAAACCCTTCTTGTTACTCTTAACATCTCTTGCTAGCTGCAACTCCAAGTGTGATTTGGCCTTCCTGATTTCACTCCTGCATGCCTGAGCAATATTTTTATACTCCTCCCTGGTCATTTGTCCAATCTTCCACTTCTTGTAAGCTTCTTTTTTGCGTTTAAGATCAGCAAGGATTTCACTGTTTAGCCAAGCTGGTCGCCTGCCATATTTACTATTCTTTCTACACATAGGGATGGTTTGTTCCTGCAACCGCAATAAGGATTCTTTAAAATACAGCCAGCTCTCCTGGACCCCTTTGCCCTTCATGTTATTCTCCCAGGGGATCCTGCCCATCAGTTCCCTGAGGGAGTCAAAGTCTGCTTTTCTGAAGTCCAGGGTCTGTATTCTGCTGCTCTCCTTTCTTCCTTGTGTCAGGATCCTGAACTCGACCGTCTCATGGTCACTGCCTCCCAGGTTCCCATCCACTTTTGCTTCCTCTACTAATTCTTCCCTGTTTGTGAACAGCAGGTCAAGAAAAGCTCTGCCCCTAGTTGGTTCCTCCAGCACTTGCACCAGGAAATTGTCCCCTACACTTTCCAAAAACTTCCTGGATTGTCTGTGCACCGCTGTATTGCTCTCCCAGCAGATATCAGGGTGATTAAAGTCTCCCATGAGAACCAGGGCCTGCGATCTAGCAACTTCTGCTAGTTGCCAGAAGAAAGCCTCGTCCACCTCATCCCCCTGGTCTGGTGGTCTATAGCAGACTCCGACCACGACATCACCCTTGTTGCTCACACTTCTCAACTTTATCCAGAGACACTCAGGTTTTTCTGCAGTTTCATACCGGAGCTCTGAGCAGTCATACTCCTCTCTTACATACAACGCAACTCCCCCACCTTTTCTGCCCTGCCTGTCCTTCCTGAACAGTTTATATCCATCCATGATAGTACTCCAGTCATGTGAGTTATCCCACCAAGTCTCTGTTATTCCAATCACATCATAGTTCCCTGACTGTGCCAGGACTTCCAGCTCTCCCTGCTTGTTTCCCAGGCTTCTTGCATTTGTGTATAGGCACTTAAGATAACTCATTGATTGTCCCTTAGACTTCCTATTTTACTTATTTTTGCCCACTCATGTGATGTGACGTGTGGTGAATGTTGTCTGGAATTATCCATCATAGAAGAATCAATCAGATTAACTTTAGAGAGTGTGATCTTTCAGAACTTCAGATTTATAACAAACAAGAAGGTTTACTCTTAATGATGAAAGCAGATAAACTTCAGACTACTTCCCCCCACCCCATCTCTTAGGTTTCCCCATTAGAAGGAACCATATAAGCCTTAACCTCTCCCTGAAGTATCTTTCTAACTAGAAATAGTAATATCTGATTTAAACAATTTTAGAGCATTTTTGTTAAATGGGTAACTTCTAGACTTTACTCTGTCCAGTACATACTGTCGCCATCCCTTAGGCTATAGCATAATGAACTTCAGTATTGTCACCTGAGATCACTGCAAAAATATGTTAAGAAGTCAGAACAATACAGGAAAGGTAACTCTTTCCCAAAATATGATTTCAACCATCAGGACCCATAAGAATTGTTTTCATACCTCTGGCACTCCTTGAGCTGAAAAAGCATTATATGGTGGCAGCACACCAGTAATGTTTTCATATCCCTGAGGGGGCGTCTCAAACAACGATGTATTGAAAATCTACCGAAAGACCCAAGAAGAACAAACAAACAGTTACTTTAGTAAAAGCTTTGGGTCAGATTCTTCCTCTGGGTAAGCTCAGTGAAGTCTTGGCACAATTCTGTGCACTAAATTTAGTTATTAAGAACAGTGTGCCATTTTATATAAAAAAAATTATCAAAAAAAGAAATCATGTATAACAAAGTGAGAGAGGGATACATAGTTAGAACTTCATAACTGAACAAGAGGAGGAAGACAGGCAGACAGATAGATAGATATTTGTGTGGGTGTAAGGTTTAATGAATCACTACCGGAATCAAAACAGAGGAATAACTGAAGAGTGCTGAAAAGGGGTGATAATTATAGACACCTAGTTTGTCCCTATTATTATGGAGACTTTTTGTAATTTAGTGGTTACTCCTACTTAAGACTATTGCTCCTTTCCTACTACTTCAGTAGATGATCTACTCTCTGATTAGGTACAGTACCTTTTGTTACGACCCAAAATGGTCCCATATCTTTAGTGCTCATGCCACTCTTACTCACACAGTAAGATACTACTCAATGTGAGTCAGGGTGGCAGGATGAGCTTTTATTTTGGATCTGATCATTATTATGTAAAATAAAATCAATAAACACTTACAAATAATAACTAATATTACAAGGGGTTCGGTGAAGATTTTATTTAAATAAAACAAACAAACAAACAAGTACAGGAATTTATCAGGATGAATTTTTTGGGGACTGGTTGTCCACTTGGCAGAACAGTGGGGTTTGCATGTGCACATACTAAGGTTGCAGAGTCAAGCACTGAAAAGTTAGGAAATGCTAGATAACATGTGATCATGTAATTAAAGTCTGTATCATAATACATATGCATTAGGGGGCTGAATTAAGGATACACAGGCAATCTTAATTCTGGTATTTCCTAATTTTTCAGTGCTTGACTCTCCAACCATAATAATGTTCTTTTAATGTATTTTTTGTGTGTGTAATTTCATAGCTTGGAGGTGATAGTGCTCCAATGGGCATACACTGTCCTGACCATTCACCCCAAACTTCACCCCTTCTGCCCCTCACCCTATACCTGTCCTAGTCCTGCCTCTTCCCCATCCAGGCACCTCATCCCAGTCCCATTCTCCTCACCTAGCCAGTCCCAGTTTCCACTCTGAAGGTTTCTCATTTCAATCCCCATTTCCATGCCAGCCACTTCTAGTCTCCCCCCTTTGGACTTTCCATCCCAGTCTCCCTACACTCCCAGTCTTCCCTTCCCTAATTATCCCAGTCTCCTTGCCCAGTGCTTCTCCCACACCCTGGTTCCTTGTTTATGCTGTCTTAGAATCATAGAATATCTGGGTTGGAAGGGACCTCAGGAGGTCATCTAGTCCAACCCCCTGCTCAAAGCAGACAGATTTTTGCCCCCGATCCCTAAATGGCCCCCTCAAGGATTGAACTCACAACCCTGGGCTTAGCAGGCCAATGCTCAAACCACTGAGCTATCCCACCTCACTTGTTACCACTCCCAGTCTTCCGCACCAGCAGCTCCCCATCTCAGTCACCCCCCACCTTAGCTCCTAGTTCCAATTTTCTCCACCCCCACAGGCTCCTTTTCCCAATCTCCTCTCCCTGCCCTAGTCTGGCTCTTGTCCTCTCTGCATTCCATTCAAGTGGCTTTCTTTTTTCCACTGTTGGGATATCAGCAGAGGGACCCCTGTGAGCACAGGGGGGACAGCTGCCCTACTCTCAGTCCCGGTGCCCAGACTGCAGCAGCCCAGAGTCCTGGAAACTCCTGCTCAGCCCTAGACTGGAGCATGCTCAGTGCATACAGAATCTTAAGGGAATTAGCTCTACCAAGTAGCTACTGATCATGTGCAAACCCCAGTTCTTCAGAGGTTTACAACTTGACCAAATGTGGATAGATTTTTCACAGGGATAACAAAAGGTACATCCCTGACACAAAGGCAACCTCCCTGCCAAATTCCAAGTCTCTGCTCCAAAGCACAGGGGCTACAGAGCTTCTTAGATAAAAGGTCATCAGAATTTAACATGGGCAAAACAATATATTTTCCCCTAACCTCATTCTCAGAAACAGCTGTACTTGTTTGGCTGAAATTTAAAAAAAAAAAAAAAATTCAGCATAAGGCAGACACCCGGCATGGTAAATTTCAAATGGTTACAGTTTGGTAATGGCGTAAGTGACTGAAAAGATCCTAGAATGGGAAGTGTTGGGCAACCTTAATAATGGCAGTACTACGTGCCTCTCCTATAACAAATAAATTGGATAAACTAAGTTTTCACTTCATTTGCACGGTTACTTGATATTTCATATTCTTTCCAAAATCTTAATTCTAGATGACTGATGTTGCCCCTGCATTGTACTATTGCATTCTGCAGAGAAGGTAGGCATGTAATGCATTCATGCATCATTACGTCTACTTCAGTGAACTAGGCACTTTGAGGGGGAGATCCAGAAGGAAATAAAAACAAACAAACAAACATATGGAGTTGTCAAAACTGTACCTAAAAAGCAGTGAAATATTGGTATTCGATCTTGGGGTGGGGATGGCTTTGCCATACACAAAACTTGCCTTGTGCTTGGTTTGCTGCACAGCGAAACAAGGAGGGTGCAATAAACCAGTAGATTCCTTTTGTGTGTTTGTAAGATGTAAGCAATCCCCACTGATCTGTCCTGGCAGAAATTATTTCTAAATATTAGTCCAAGAAATTGGGTGACATAACCCAGCAGCAATGAATTTTCCTTTTTAAGATAGAGGCTTTTCATCAGATTATAAAACACAATGAAGATGCACAGGTGTGAGTGGGGGCAGAACCTGACCCCGTTTCTTTAAAGAGCTCTTCTACATACAGTTGACTAAAATAAAATCACCTCATTCCCTTGATCATCAATAATTGAGACATAGTTGGGCTGAGTTTCATTTGGGTAGGAAAGGAGGACATCATAATGAACCAGCTCTGCTGAATCCAATCCAAATTCCTTCCACTGGGCTTGAATTTGCTTAGCAAGGTGAAGGTTCTGTTCTGTTCCTGCCAGGTGAGGAAACTTTGTAAACGAACTAAAATAAAACAAAGTCATGGGTAAGGAGAGAGTTCAGAAAAGCATTTGACAGATGAGTCCAAGTAGCCTAATCTTCATAACACATGAAAGAAGTAAATTGTTATGGTTAAGTCCCTTAGATGAAACGTTGAATGGTACAACAACATAGTTACCAAAGCCTGAGGCAGGATAACATGCAAAGAGATCCTTCCTGAGGCCCTAAAATAAATCAGCTTAGCTTTTCACTCTGAGTAACTGCCACAGGGGTTAGAGCACTCTCCTGAGAAGGGAGAGACAGCCTGCTCAAATCCGTTCTCCCCTTCTGGCACAGAGGAGGGAATTGAACCTGGGTCTCCCATATCCCGGGCAAGTGCTCTAATCACTGGGATAAAAGTTATAAGGTGGGTCACTCCGCCACCTGCCAGATTTTGAATGGGGAGGCAGCCACTAATCACACCAACCAGATTAGGCTCTGCATGCAAATTAGGTGGACGAATGCATGTGTTCCCCCATTTGTGAATTGCTCTAAGGCTTAGGTGGGAGACAGTTGGCCGAATGCCTAGAGGGAGGCAACAGCGTGCATGCCTAGAGGCAGAAACTTAGGCACAGAGTGAATTTAGATGCCTACAGGTTTAGGTAGCAGGTTTGTGGATCACTGTGGAGACAAAACTGGGATTTAGGCACCTAAATCCAACATATAGGTGCCTAAATCTGGGATTTGGGTGCCTAAATACCTTTATGGATCTGGGGTTATAATTCCCAAACAAAAAACACAAATAAAATAAGTTACATATCGGTAATTTAGGGTTATCCTCCCAGTTAGGAGAATGTAAAGTAAATAGGGTAGAGACTAAATAATAATAATTTGGTCTTGCTTTTAGTTTAAACAGGCTAAATAAGCAAGTAAGGGAATATAAGTGAAAGCACAAGGCTGCACCACCCTCACCTTACTTTCCCCCCCGACCCCGACCCTCTGCAGCTGGTAGCCTTGAAGATAACAGGGCTAATCAAGCAAGGGGTTGCAATGGTTACCAAGTAGCTGGAGGGGAGGGGAGGGAAGGGTGTAAGGAGGGCATGCAGAGTCTGCAAGAGAGTAACCATGACCAAAAGAAACACCGCTCCTTACCCCTCCCATCAGGTACAAAAGAAGTGGTCTTATCGACCTCAGACTCAGGACCTCCCAGAACGGAACATGACCATATATTGGTAGGGGTGGTACCAGGGGAGGGGCACTACAAGTATAATTAAGTTTGCCAAGAAAAGGGGGGAGGAGAGGAAGCGCCGTTGGCGTGCAAAGCTAGGGGTTAGGAGAAGAACGGGGTTCTATCAGTGTATAGAACTGTAGTTGTGGGAGGGAAAAACGAAAACTCTATTGGCATATAAAGATAGCCCGACTGATGTGAAGGGTTTCGGAATATGTTTGCTTGTTTAGCCCCAATAAACCCACCAAATTGTCTGCAAACTGGACTCTGAACTGTTATTTTCCAGCAAACTGTGTTTGGGAACTGAGAGGGAGGAGGGAGCTGGACCCCTGCCAATATTCCACCCCCCCCCCCAAATAAAGCCAGAAACTTCGACGTCAAAATTAAACGTAAAAGAAATCCAAAAATGTTAAGGTATAGAAATGCACCTAAACAGCCTTAATTTAGCCCCCTAATGGCTCCATGCAATAACCGTACAATTATGGATGCTGCATATTAATTATTTTGGTCCCATACTAAAATGATTTTTAAAGATACATATGAAGTGAACCTTAATGTTTTTTCTTGTGGTCTCACTCTCCTCCTTAGAGCAGTGATCAAATGGGTGCACAGTTAAGGTTATGTGATGTGGGAGGTATTACTTGTACCTCTGTATTTCCTGGCTTTTTGATGTTGAAGTTTTGCTTTTTCCACCCTGTGGGGACAGATTTAATAGCTTGAGGGAACGAGAGTGTGATGTGGAAGCCTTAATCTTGTATTTCTTTTACAACACCATTAACATAGTCTTTGGATAGTGAATTAATGTAAAAATTTCTGCAGTTCCTGCTTTATAGTTTGATTTAGCAAAAATGTACAGAAGATGTTCTGGCATCATGAAAACAAGCAGACTAGATACTGATAATTCCCTGTGGCCCAGAGATTTCAGCATAATTACTGAGAAATTTCACACTGTTTTCAGTGTGTACGTGTCCTAGACTTTTGTATGCTCTCTCTCTCTCTTTCTCAACTCTCTAATTTATTGTGAGCACCAAAAAACAAAACAAGGTCTATGTACTTTATTGGCTCTAATTCATGTTAGAAGTGAAAGCACTTAGGTTTAAAATAAATAAAATAAAATAAAATAGAAATCAAATTAGTCATGAGTTGTTTGGTGTCCTAGATGCATCCTCACACTCTCAAATGCTGAATATTAACATACGTTAGTAACCAACGTTGATTTATGTTATCTTTTGGGGATATTTTTGATTACATTATCCAAAAGTAAACACGTGCAAGAGTCATTGTTTTCATTTCCAGTGAAATACATGACAGAAGTAAAGGCTCCTGATGTGTTTTTTACTTTTCATACAACAAACTTAGTATGAAGGAACCACATAGCACAGTGGGGTCCAAATAATCCAGTTTACTAACTATGCACAACATGCAAGATCTAGTTACACATGCCCCAGCAAGGGTGTTGTGTCCTGGTTCGCTTCTGAAACATGGAAGACACTGAGGGCCACTAGAGGGCTCACACACCATTTAAAGGGATACTATCCAATTCCTGGTTTCAGAGTAGCAGCCGTGTTAGTCTGTATCCGCAAAAAGAACAGGAGTACTTGTGGCACCTTAGAGACTAACAAATTTATTAGAGCATAAGCTTTCGTGCATCCGAAGAAGTGGGTTGTAGCCCACGAAAGCTTATGCTCTAATAAATTTGTTAGTCTCTAAGGTGCCACAAGTACTCCTGTTCTTTATCCAATTCCTGTACACTAGAGAGTACTTGTATAGGCAGTTCAACTGCATTCTTTTCCCCTCCCATGGTTAATATATTCCTACAGGATGAATTGCTTTCTACTTTACCCCAGCTAATTGGGTCACTGGGTGCTGAGATACAGAGATTAATGAATCACTAGCTATATTATTTATCATGTAATAGCTGTCCATCTGCAACACATAAAACATTTTTCTTTTCTAAGGTATCTGTTTGAGACTAAAGCAAAGTTCTTTATTGATGTTAGGACTTAAATAATGTAAGATTCAGGGGGGAAATGTTATACTAGCTGGAGTTCGGATAATGGAAAGGCTTTTGTATAAAAAACAGAGAGCTTACAGAACTGAATAGATAACCTTAATAAAAGCAACATAACTAACAGCATGAATTTTTTAATGAGAAAATCATATTGTTCAAACCATAGATTTTTCAATGGTCTGGATGTAGATATGTTTTGTCTACACAGTCTTGCAACTCTATGTATACCTTTAACATCTACATTTATATAACAAATATATTACAAAAAACTAACTTGTGTAAATAGAAATATTTTATATATATCTCACACCCTCTACTTCTCAAGCTTTATCAGTCTATTTTGGGGAAAGGACACTTTGGAGTACAATAATTTCTAAAAAGTCAACTTGGAAAAAAACATTAAAATGAGAGCATGTGTTTTATTACTTTTCTCAACATTGTGCACAAACCCATGTAATCCCAAAATATAAAAGATATCATAAAAACACAGCCAACAAATGCTCTTCCATGGGGCTAATGTTACAACTTATGGCTTTTGTGGCTGATATAATTATTTGAAAACCAAAAAGGATAAAGCTTACCGTAGAAACTGCTTGATGTTTTCTGCTTTCATTTCAGCCACAAGTTTCTGTCTCACATTTTGATAGGCATCTGCTGAGCTAGTTGTTTTTTTAGTGGGTTTCATTAACCAGCCTGAAAAATATCATTAAAGCCTGATACTTACCAACCCCTACAATGCTCAAGTATTTGTGCATATGGTTAACTTTAAACACAAGTAATCCCATTAAAGTCAATGGAACTATTCACATGCTTACATTTTAGCAGATTCCTAAGTGTTTGCTGGACAGTGGCCCAAAATATAAAAGGAACTACAAAGTAAAATGTTTATTGTTACTGGATCATGATGAAGTGACAGGTCACTCCTGTATTTATATGAGCACACATTGATAAATATAGAATACCATTTAACCAGATTCTTCTGTTAGCATTTTTAGACCTGTAACTTGAATGCAGTTCACAATGAGAGGAGAATCAGACCCATCATATTCACAGTGAACATTCACTGAACAGTGAGAGGGACTGACCCCTACCTGAATGAATCTGCTCAGGTATTTAACGTGAAGCATGTGCATGAGCATTTTCAGGATGAAAGCCTAGGATTCCATGACCTCCCGCCAGCCCCATAATAGTTATTAGGTGTTCAGGGGAGGAGGGAGGAGAGGGGGAAAGTTAAAAGTGTTTTCAAATACTGCAACAGAGAGTCCTGTGACACCTTTAAGACTAACAGATGTATTGGAGTATACGCTTTCGTGGGTGAATACCCACTTCGTCAGACGCAAGTGGGTATTCACCCACGAAAGCTTATGCTCCAATACATCTGTTAGTCTTAAAGGTGCCACAGGACTCTCTGTTGCTTTTGACAGATCCAGACTAACACGGCTACCTCTCTGATACTTCAAATACTGCATTGTCAAATACTGTCATTCCTTGCAAATTTTTGTGGTGTTGCTCCTCTGTAGCAGAAAACCCACATAAACAGGGAAAATGACTTCAATGAAAATGGCAATCCACAGCAGTGATGTCAAGTGCACAATGGAAAACTGAAAGAGACTCTTTCTCTCTAGCATCTTTCAGTAATAGTAGTCTTAAGTGTGTTCTGTAAAAAAGTTTCTTTTGAAAAAGGGCAGAAGTGTTGGGTTTGCTTGTTTGTTTGAGATTAACCACATTCTTTTAATGTTTAGCCTGATTAGTTTTAAGCATTTTTAGGCCCTATTTTGCAAGTGACTGTACAGTCAGACCTCTGCATCCACGCAAAGCCCCATTGGAGTAAATGGGGCTCCCAGAGGAGTGCAGCAACCCACCTGTGAGCTGCCAATTGACAGTCCCTTATTTCAAAACCCAAAGGTCCTGAGTTACTCTGCCCTTAAACTCTATGATGGCAGCTAATGGAAGCCACATCCCCACCTTTTACAATAAAACAAGGAGGAAAAGCACAACCCTCTAATTTCCAAACTATTTTTCTTGAATCATCCTTGCTAAGAAGCTGCCAGTTCACTCAGCCACTTTGGTGATACACACACACACACACACACACACACACACACACATATCATGCAGGTGGCTGGGAATGGAAGGAAAAGACAACCTTTTTTGAAACCCTCTAAGGAAGGTGATTATTTAGGAAGCCTCTAACAAGCAGTAAAACCCCCCTGGTCGGGTGCTATTCTTAACCTTCACACACACACAGGGTAGGCAGGTTTAAAGTGCAGACCTGGTCAATGTTTGGGAGATGGAAATAATAAAGGGGACTGTGTCTGGTGGAGGATGGTGTGCGGAGTGGTGGTATGTCTATAGAATAGTACCTGGGGAGTTGGGTGTGGAGGAGGGCTGGGTGCCTAGGAGGTTGTGTGCCTGTGGGGGAGAAAGGGGTGCATGTATTTGAAGAGGGAGAGGTGAAGGAGACCATGTACTGGGGTGGGGGAGATAGGTAGGGGTGTGTGTGTGTGTAAATCCCCGGTTCAATCCCTGCCTGAGCTCTGGGGTCCCACCTACTCTGTCTCCTCGTCCCCCGGCCGGGAGGATCCGTACTCACCTCCCAGGAAGCCCAGCAGGAAGAGGGCCAGCAGCAGGGCGCAGCCCAGCCCCGTGCGCAGCGCGCCCTGCCTCCCGCCCATGGCTCCAGCCCAGGCACAGCGCGGGGCCAGGACCCCTCTCCGCCTCCGCCGGGTCTCCCTTCTCCCCGCGAGTGGCGCCCTGGCGGAGCGCAGCGCGAACCCATGTGTGCTGTGTCACGCTGCGGGCAGCAGCCCGCTGGGCCCTTCCCCTTTGGCAGGGAGCAGCGCCGCGGGTCCCTCCTTGTTCCCGCGGGCCTGAGCGGAGCGTGCCAAGCGAGGCCGAGCGGCGGGGAGCAGCTGCTCCACCAGAGGAGGCACTAGGAGGAAAATCTTGTGTTTGCTTTGGGGGCTGTTTCTGTTATAAGGCTTAGCAGCGCCTTTTATCCCAGACCCTCAATCTGCTCCCCACCAGCGGGGAAGTAATCGCCCCCGTTTTACAGGTGGGGAAACTGAGGCACGGCGAGATGAAATGATGCCCAAGGTTAGACTGTTGTCAGTGGCGATGCAACTTGGGTCTCCTAAATCTCTGCCCCTGGTTCCTTGTAAGACTTTGGGGCAAATTTTATCCCAGTAAGGACATTTAAGATAAAACAAGTGTTTTTCTTTTACACCCACAGACCAGAAAATAGTAGCAAGAAAATATCTATTTAAAATGTACCCAGAGCGACACAAAGGATATCAGTTGTTCTGAAGGACAATTTGTGAAAACGCTCTCTCCTGCTTTTATTTAAAAGTTACTCTTTCTATATTCATTTGCCATTTGCTATGGTAGAATGGGCTGCAATAGGAGATTAGGTTGATGAAGTATATGTGGGAAGGGAAGAAAAGGCTGGAAAAGCATGAAGGACTGTTGCTGATTCTTTATTGTTATTTATTGTCAGGTTGATAACAGGCGCAGTGATGAATAGTTGGACCAGCTCTAAATACAACTGAGTTCCACTGTCTCTGGGAATTTTTACAAAACTCATCCAATTAAGCTGATTGTGAAACCAAAAGTTGCAAAATTGTTGCCCATAATCAGCAGCCTTGTATGCCTTACCTGATTGATTCTAAAGGCTCTTACAGCCAAATCTTGCAGTTCTTACTTAGCCAAGTAAGTACTCCTAAGTACAACATGCTGTCAGACAGGCCCAGGGATTCAGACATCTTACCTAAGGTAAGTGGACAAGTTGCTAATCAATCGCACATTTTCCCTTTAAAGCTTATTAGGACCCTGATCCTGAAGGTGGACTCCTAGAGCCTCACTGAAACCAAGGGGCACAAAGACCTGTCCACATTGGATCCAATTATAGGATTAGGTTATAGGTTAAAGTTGAAGGTGTGAAAGCTTCCTGGGGGCCCCTGGACACGACCTCAGCTCTCCTTTAACCACCACACAGAAAGGATGATCCCAGTAAGGAACGCTAAAATAAATGGCTGTGCTCCACGTAGCACTCCTTCCTCAAACACAGGCAGCTGAGCTGAAGACATTCAAAAACAAGTGGACGATCTGGTTAATGTTTAGATCACTTCCCAAGGACTCGGCAGTGGCTTTTCAGAGCAGACACTGATTACAATACAATTATATCACTTGGGGATTCTGCTCTCATGCACATCTTTAGCCCCTTAGTCAGATTCTGCCTGGTTTTCTTGGACAAGTGAGAAGCATGTCCAGTTTTGTGATTACTATTATTGTTTTTAACCACTTGATGACAGCTTGCAAAGCTCTCACCGGAATTCAGAACAGAGAAACCTTCCACTCCAATAGCTCATTTGAGCTGCCAGATGGAATTCCACCTACAGAAATGATAGCTGGGAACACATGGTGTATTATTAGCATTGATGTAGCACCACAGGTGCATGTGTGGCATTTAACAGACAGCAAACTGACAGATTTCTGCTTTTAGGCATTAACAGATGAAGTTAGACATAATACTGCATGTGATGATGTACAGGGGAGTGGGAGAGGAGGATGAGAATGAGAGTAGCAACAGTTAGAAAGTATGGTATGATTTTATTGGTATGTATGGGTCTGTTCAGTGTCACAACCAGTACTAGGGTCAACAGTGGGGACTAAACCTAGGACCTCCAAGTGTAAAAGTAGCTCTACCACTTCAGCTACATGCCATCCTTAATTCCTCTAGCTGAGACCTATAGTATCTTATCTGTGGACAAGCCACTTGAAGGCCACATGCACTTTAGCCATTTATTAGGCCTCAGCTGGAGTATTGTGTCCAGTTCTGGGCACCGCATTTCAAGAAAGATGTGGAGAAATTGGAAAGGGTCCAGAGAAGAGCAACAAGAATGATTAAAGGTCTTGAGAACATGACCTATGAAGGAAGGCTGAAAGAATTGGGTTTGTTTAGTTTGGAAAAGAGAAGACTGAGAGGGGACATGATAGCAGTTTTCAGGTATCTAAAAGGGTGTCATAAGGAGGAGGGAGAAAACTTGTTCACCTTAGCCTCTGAGGATAGAACACGAAGCAATGGGCTTAAACTGCAGCAAGGGAGGTCTAGGTTGGACATTAGGAAAAAGTTCCTAAATGTCAGGGTGGTTAAACACTGGAATAAATTGCCTAGGGAGGTTGTGGAATCTCCATCTCTGGAGATATTTAAGAGTAGGTTAGATAAATGTCTATCAGGGATGGTCTAGACAGTATTTGGTCCTGCCATGCGGGCAGGGGACTGGACTCGATGACCTCTCGAGGTCCCTTCCAGTCCTAGAATCTATGAATCTATGAATTAGTGTAATATGTTAAAATATTGTCCTGTGTCTAGAATAAAAGGGTGAGGTGGAGGTCTGTGTAAGGAGAGTCACACATCAAGCACATATCTTTGTTCTTCCCAGTGGATCATTCTAGAACACCTTCTCTCTCTCTCTCTCCCACACACACAGAGTTTATGAATGCCATTAAGGAACCTTGTGTTGAAACGCCATTAAGTCATTATCCCACTTACCTGCCTCGTGGGAAAACAACAGAATCAACATATACAGACCTCAGGAAAATCCATTCTCCCAGGGGCAAAGAGAAATTTTAGCTTGGTGAGAGGGGCTGGAGATGCTTCTATTTCTCTGGAAGGGAGGAGGGAGGACAGCCACCGAAAAAACATCGTTTCTTTAACCGGAGGGGGAGCAGAGCAGTTGGAGCTGCAGCATTTTTCCCCAAGGATGGGGGGAATGGGTATAGCTTTCCCTGCTTGTAAACTGGGGAGAAGGTGCTCTGTCCCTCCCTATCACACTCCTCTTCTCTCTGTCTCTCTCATTCTTTCCCCTCCTTTCTCTCCCTCTCTTATTTTCTCCCCTACAAATATGCTGCTCTGCTCTCAGAAACAGAAAGAGTTTCTCTTCTGCTGTATGTTGGAGGGCTGTGTCATTTTATTGATCTCATGCATGGTTGTGTTTCCTGTCTGCTTTAAGATGGTGCAAATGCATGATGAATAGTCTTCTGGGGAGACAGGAGTTCTTGGTAACACGTGACAGCATCCCATCTCTCGATCATATTTTGTAAATTAATCCATTCAGTAAACACTGTTGTTTTTCTAAGTTACCACCACATTCTTTAATACTATTGCTCAAAACAAAGGAAGCACTGAACAAAGTTAGTTAAAGTTTCCCCATAACTGGTTAAATTTATACTTATACTTGGCTTCCTTCTGCCTTTTGGCAGGTGCTTTTAAACACTAACTACAACTACAATTACAATCATCTGCTGGTAACTGTGGGTGTACAAATCAAGGCCTTGATTAACAAGTTTGGTGAGTTTGTCTTTGGGAATTTTGAAAAGAGCAAATGTGCAATACTCAGCATCACAACACCTAAATTCCTTTGTGGATCCTGGCCATAGACAACTTTTATATTTAGAGTTTTGCAGCCCTTTTAATGATTAAGAAATTGGTTTAATTCATGATTTAACTCAGCTGTCCATCTTTGTTAATCAATCTGAGATGATGAACTTCTGCACTTTGACAACCAAAACTCTTACTCTGGTAAATAGAGCCTGACAATGTCAGAGTGAAATTTGCCTCAGTGCAGAAGCCCAACAAAAGGCCTTTAGGTTGTTTGGGTGAAAAGTAATTAGTACATAAGACTTGCACTGGACAAATGTACCAGGGTGAATTTCACCCTTGGGCCTACATTCTGCAAATGGATCCATCTGGGTGCAATCCTGTGTCCACACAGATCCATTTTCAGGAAGCATCCCTTAGTAAACTGCCAGGATCCCCACCTGGGAGGATCCCCACCTGGGTAATAAATCTCTTTGTTTGGCTTTCAATTTTTATAATCAAGGGATCGGAAATGTTACCAAACATGCACGTCCCCATGGCCTACACCGCTTCCCGCAGCTCCCATTGGCCAGGAATGGCAAACTGCAGCCACTGGGAGCTGTGGGCGGCCATACCTGCGGACGGTCAATGTAAACAAACTGTCTCGCGGCCCACCAGGGGCTTACCCTGACAGGCCACAGGTTGCCCATCCCTGCTATAGGGGATAATAACCATGTAACTGAAGGGTGCAAACATAAAGGATGGAGAGGAATAGTTTATGGTGCAACAAAAAGTTTGAGGTCGGGGGGGAATGTCATCATGACAGTGAGAACCACTAGAACATGGAAGAATCTTCCAAGAAAACTGCTGGAAGCCTCATTTCTTGGGTCATTTAAAATTGGCAGGTCAAAGCACAAGGAACTACACCATAGGGAGAAATCCAAGAGGCAGGGGATTGGAGAGGTGACCTAACTTTGAAAGTCTTTTCTCTCTCTGATTTGAGTTGGCTTGTGTGCTCACTGGAGCAGCCACTGCTGATCATATGAGTAAACTGTGTGCCAGACTCATGCATGTTTAAATTTTTACTTTGTCCCACATTTTTCTTTCTCTACAAATTTTACGGCTGGCAGGTGTGCTGTACTTATAGCAAAACTTGAAAGGAGGGTCTAAGGAAGACAGTAATAGTTTGGCCCTTTCAAAGTCATCAGTGTCTCCTTTGCTTCTCATTGCTTGCACGTTAGAAATACCTTGAAAACAGACAGACAAACAGATTTAGTTAGGAATACCTTTTGCACAGGATCATCATCCTCAGACTGAAAGCTTATTTGTGCTAGGTCATTTCATGGCTGACATTTATTGTTCCCATCCACCTTTTTATTAATAGTGACTGGGAGGTTTCTTGTTTCATCTTGTTTTTAAATGGCTTCAAGATGCTAAGAGAAAAGTAACATAGATGAGTCACCTGAGCGTTCAACCCAGAACTCTCCATGATCACTACCTTTCCCCCATGCCATCTGTGACACCATTTTAAGAAGGTATTCCCATCTCATTGTATGGCTCTTTGTGCAATAGGGGAGCTGTAGGGGCATCACCTAGAGTGTATTTATGCAACGCTGTAGAGAATACTAGAAAGTTAACCAATATGTTAGAAAGTGTTGGAAATAAGGATGACTGTTCTGTTTTACTGATAAAAGTACTACAAGGTAATCATCAAAACAATCAGGCCAATAGTTTAGATTAATTACATTGCATAACTGTGAGACTACAAAAATTGTGATTTCTGCAATTTAACATGTTAAGTGAAAAGGAAATCGGGGTGGGGAGGGTGTTATTTTTAAACATGAGGTGGCAATTTGAAATGAACATCGTTTAATTTAGTATCTCACTTGAACAATGATCTCAACTCCACTCTCTCCTAATAGAGTTTCAGAGGTATCATACCTTATTAATGTTATTAAATGTAATGGAAGTGAGTGAGGGAGACTGACTGCAAATAACTGTACTGTTTCAAAGAACAAGGTTTTTAAAATAATCCCACTCATGTCTGTAAATGCTCTTCTTTTTGAGGGCTCCACAGCTGTCAACTCCAGTCTTTCACTTTTGAGTATGTTGCTGATATGCCCTTATGCGAGGTCCTTCAGAGTCCCTGCTGCAGCCTGCACGGTGAAGGCTGCAATGGAGATCTGCCTCTTTACTTCTTCCCAGGCTTTGCGCTGATCTGCTTTGTTTTCTATATCGAACATGGCATCGTAGATCCCTGGGAATGACTCTCCAGCGTACTTGTTGTGGCTGCTCGGAGCAAAAATAATGTGCCTGTGGGGAAAGAGAAAAAATTACTGCACATTATGAAAATAGAACAAATGTTTATTTTCTGAATAAATCCTCATCCAATTAATATATCAGCTGTCAAAGCAAATCCTAGGTATCGGGAATGCAAATAAATAGGATTCTTTTAGCAATGACGCCTACACTATATAAAGCAAAAAACCAAAAATCTAAAATTCCCATTTCTCCCCCAGATATCTTCTAAGCACACCTATGAACACACTAAATTAGTCCATGTGAATGCCAGTGTCCTGGAGGAGTGGAGACACAGATTATAAATGTTTTTTTTCTTCCCCAATGTTTTTGATTAAAGGGAAAAAAACGAACAACCGCAGTTTCTGGCAGCTGAAGAATACTTTGAGTTAGGAAGGCTGACGCTTAAAGCATCAGTAAACTGGCCTTGACAGATATTTATTCAGGAGTTGTTAAAAGTACAAGGATTGTAAATCTTAATGTCTGTTTTCTCTTGCTAGACTGCTTTTTTCAGGAAAGGTGAATGTTCTGCATTATGCTGGAGTGGGAGAAGGATGTAGAAGGTTCAACTAGTCTGCCCACAAAACAAGATTCAATGGTTCGGTTAAAATGTTAGAGACCAGCAAATCTATTTTTCTACTACTGCAGCGCTGCTCTTTCACTATATTTCGTACCACTATGGTCAGTCTACGGTTAACTGTTCCACGTGTTAGGGCACCCCCCCCCCTTTTTTAGGGCATGTTAGGGATTGATTCTACACTGCTTTGAAGTTTTGGATTGGACTTTAATGGGAACAGGATCAAATGCTCATGACCTGATCCAAAGCCCCCTGAAATCAGTGAAAATACTCCTGTTAACTTTAACGGCCTTTGGATCAGGCCCTTATACAATATCACTGAATTTTATCCTAATATTCAGACTAATTTTTCCCTTTCTTTTTCTTATCTTATTATACTTATTTATGCCCCCTTTTCCCATGCAAAATAATACTTTTCCATTCTTGTTCACACTCTGCAGATACCTGTAAATCACCAATGGTTGACATTTCTTAGAGTTCTTAGGCAAAAAACAAGTAAAGTTTGTTGTAGATAATGTTTTCCTACCTGTAGAATGGCCTGCCAGGTAAACCAAGAGGATCAATAAAAGCCCTTTCTAAAAACATGAGCTGATCATTCAATGATCTTACAGCGATTGGGCTGAAAAGAAAGCAACAGAGGACTGTCTTAGCCTCAGAGTACTTTGAACATGTGCATCCTGTACTAAAACTTTCACAGCTTCAATACATATCTAAACACAGCTTGTAGAATTTAATGAGTGTAACACCTGTGAAGCCAATCACAGTTAGGTCAACAGATCAATGTCGATCTACCCTGAGGATCTGGCACATAATGTGGAGGTTCTGTAAGGCTGTTCTTAGGTGCTAAGGAATGTGCTGTAAGAAGGAAAAGATAATTAAATACTTTCTCCCAAGCTGTCCCTTATATTTAAAACTCTCTCCCACTGTCATGTTCAAGACAACCACTCCCTCGCCATACAATTCTTTTTTAACACTCATTTCTTCCATGAAGCCTATCAAAGTCAAGCAACTTCAGTATAAATGCATGTATTTTTTATATAAAAAAACCTTTCAATTTAAAAAAAAAAAAGGAACTTTGTTAGAATAATTTTTGGGCTGGTCTGTGAATTGTGTTGCCTGAATTGTTCGGTATGTTTGTTTAAATATAAGTTTCTTGGAGCAGAGATTGTGTCTGTATCTGTGTGTTTTGTACAGCACCAAGCACTCTACTGATGCTTAATAAATAATGTATTTACCAATGGGACTGGAAACCTGTGTGCAACGTGACATACTGCTGAGCTTTGCAGTGGAATCACTAGGGCAAAATCTCAGCTACATTAGTAAAAATCTGGAGTAACTCAACTGTAGTCAGTTCCAAATTTACACCAGTATAAACAAAAGCAGAATTTGGTCACTGCTTAAGTTCAACTCAAATTATGTTAATGTAATTGCTCTTGAACTGAGGTATCCCATTTGATATGGTGTAGCGACATTCAACAACACAACACATAGCAAAAATTCCATCTTTGCCATATGGAATGATTAAGGTTAATAATTAGTGTTCTGATCTTAAAAAAAAGACACCAAGCGTTTTTTTAAAAATGATGAAACAAAGTTTAGTTAGAGTCCATTTGTTTCTACTGATATATTTCAGTGGTTCAGAAAAAAACAAAAACCAACCAACCAGCTAAACAAAAACAATCCATCCATTTACAAATGGTGAATCTTAAAGTGTAAGCCTTATAATTGATAATTAACAGAAATTCATGTTCCTAGAGTTAGGGAGAGGTGCTGCAAAAATCAAAATAAGTAAGAAAGGAGAGAACTAAGAAAGCAGCAACATTTTTATGTGTAAATGGGATGTAAAAGAAACAGCTGACCAACTACACACAGCTTTAATGTGAGGACCAGCTCCTCAGCGGGCATACATCCGCAAGCTGCATTGAAATCAGCAGCCTTTTATAGTTAATATGTTGCATCTTTAGCACTGTGAGCAGTCCTGGTACTAAAGAGATGATCATCACACAAATGCCTATAAATAAGTCAAATGCTGTTAATTTATTTAAATTCAGAATGGCCACCATTAAAAAGCCAATAACTATCTATCCTGGATCTGCTTCTCATTTGCAGTAAGGCCCTGTTTCACCACTCTGGCTGTTGGTCAGAAAATGAGACCCTGAGTGGCAGAAAGGGATATTAGTGTAAATGAGAATTTGGTACTCTAAGTATAACAGTAGACTGGATAAACATTTGTGCTTTAATGGCGTCCCGATTCTTATAACCCTTAAAGGGACCCAATTGGTACAACCCTCACTCCCATTATTGGACACTTGTTAATGAGATAGTTTATATAAGTGTTCACAGCATGAGTGAAGGCTGCCCCATTAGGCCTGAAGAATTTAATTATTTGGTTTGATGGCTAAGGAACCTGTAGAACTTACTTATTGATGTCTACTTGCTGCAGTCTCCTGTGAAAGTCAGTGGCAGCTTCTGTAAAATTCTTTGCAGCAGAAAAGAGAGAGTCTGCAGAGATGGGAAAGGAAGAGCTTAACTTTGAGGTCTGTTTAGCTTTTGCCAATGAACCAACATGATCATATTAATTCTCATAGCACAAAGAGCAAAATGAAGTGTGTGTGTACAGTTCGGACACTCAAACAGCAGAAATGCCCTCACTATCACATGACTGCACATGCACGCTGAGAGCTGACAGAGCTCGCATGAAGATGTGGGAGTTGGTTAGCGTGGTTTTGTTTTTAAGTGTTGGGTCATTTGAAGAATTATTTAAAAAAATAAATAAGGCCTGGTCCACACACGGATTTTACTGGTATAACTATACCAGAACCAGTCCGAGTGTGGACACAGTTATATCAGTATAAAGGTGTCTTATGCCGGTATAGCGTATTTCCCTTCTTGTACAGGTAAGTCATTTTAGCACTATAAATGTCAATGGTATTCTTTGTATTTTTATCAGCAAGAGTTTAATTGGTGCAAAGCACTGCACTAGCTTCTATTACCTGCACTCATTTGGCTTTAGGCATTATGGGCCACACTGTAGCTTGGGTAGCGTATGTTTGTATCTCCAAACATTGCAGCCAGGAAGGGCATTGGGGTATGGAAACTGCCTGCCCAGCTGGTGACTCCTTTTCCATCCCACAGAAATGCCAATCTAGGAGTCTGCAGGGTGAAATCCTGGCTCCACTGAAGATAGGCAAAGGGCCATGCAGGGCAGGATTTAAGATTCCTTGGGCATGGTGCTCAGTTTAAACAGGAGAGGGTTGCTGGCAGTGTTTCCCCCCCCCACTCCCCCCCCCCGTGAGGGACCCTCAGTATTTCCAACCCCAAGAGTTCAAAAATCTTGAGACAGCCTCCAAAATCATGAGATTTTAAAACCAATCACAAGGGGTTTTTTGAGCAATCAATTTTGTAGTCACTTTGTCTTCTGGTGTTCGAGCTTTTAGGAGTAGCTTTTTCAAGCTTTTCTCAGCAACCATCACGGCTAGAGACTTACTTTTTGTTTTAAATGAAAGTTGAGATTTCCCCCATTGTCATGTGACTACAGCAAATGGTGCTTTGAGAAAAACACCAAATATCATGAGACCCGTGATAAAAATCACAAGAGTTGGCAACTCAACTTTGTAATTCCTTCCCCCTGATTTGTTGAGATTAGCGCACAACTGTTGACCGTCAGGGCCACAATGCAAAGCCCATTTATTTCTCTGGACATCTGGCTACAGGTCGTGACCTGGAGAAAATGGGGGGTTGTTTATTCATTTGCTCTGATTGTATGATTGCATTTTGCAATGGGGGCTGGGCCTTTCGTATTATAAGAGGTTTATTTTAACTGATATTCAAAAGGGTCTTGTGCAATTAGGCATGTGGTTTCTTTTAAAAAAAATAAAAATAAAATCATTATTTTAATTAGATTGTAATCTTCTTGGGGGCAGGGACTAGTTTTGTTCTGTTTGTGCAGCACCCAGCACAATGGGGCCTCGGTTCATGACTGGGGATCGTACATGCTATCACAATACAAATAATGAACAATAATAAGAGGAAGGGTCTGGTGGAGGGTGGTACATACCAAACGACACACTGTATGTTGTCAGTTCCATTTGATGATTCTTTGACAAATTATAGATGACTTGAGCATAGTTCCTTAAAGCCTCTGCGTAATCTCTGCAGTCAAAGGGAAGGACCACAGAGTCGGCCAGTTCAAATACCAGCCCTCCTCGTACCTGTGCCACTGTCAGGTGATTCTTAAAAGTCGGATCATAAAATCTCTCCACGATCTCATAGGTGTCATAGACACTGTGGTAAACTGGGTAGCTACTGTATTTTTCCACTCTCTGAAAAAAAAAATGAATTTAAAAATGTGTTATTTATAATGTCGGTTTGGACAGCTCGACTATCCTGAAAAACATTCCCTCTTGTGTGCCTGTGTCACAGCAATCCTCTTTGTTCATATTTTCAATACTCCTCTTCATAGGGGAAGACCTTGCTTAATAGACTATGACTTGTTATCCTATTGTAATTGCACATGTCTCTCAATGGGGACACAGAAAGAATCAAAGCAGTCATGGTTGTAAAAAAAAATCACTTCAGCATTCAAAGCTTTCTTAGAGCAACTGGCCATAAGCAATTCTGTCACTACCCTGTCATTTACTTTGAACTTAATGCCTTTATGATTTGGTTGGTTCATGCCAAATTCACAGTTATTATTATCACTATGTCTGAATTATTAAGGTAACAGCCAGGCACCCCAGTCCTGGAGCAGGACCCCATTGTGCTAGGCTCTGTACAAACAGAGAACAAAAAGGCAGTCCCAGCCCCAAAGAGCTTACAATCGTTGAATCGCAGCTGATGGTGTTCAGTGGGTTATGAGGGACAGTGATGAGATGAGGAGTACTTGTGGTACATGAGATGGTGTGATGACAGACTTACCCAGTTTTTGGTGTAACGTGCTCTGCCTGAAGCAATGCCAAGCCGCTGAAAAAAGACTTCAAAGTCATTGCCAGAACCCAGCTTATTTATTCTTTTGACAAGAAAAGGGAACAGATCTTGAGTAAAGTATCTAAGTACAATGTTTAGTATGTTTCAAAACATTGTATTAATAAACTCCCCATTCCTGTCTCTTGCCTATTTCGTCCCTTCCACCCCATTCCAGGGCATTCCCCACCACACTCTTCCTCTAAACATCTCCTTAACATAATCTCTGTCATTCCTGAGTCGTCTATCACCCACCATGTGCATCTCCTAGCAACTCTGCTGTTCACAGTGGGCCAGACTCATCACATGGAACTCAGTGGAGTTAGTGCAGGGAAGAATTTGGCTCCAAATCCACTTCCTTATTCTTGCTCACTTAGGGGCCTCTCTGACATGGAGTCTCTACTGAACCCTGGTCAATCCCTGCCTCTCATCTGAGGGAAATACAACAGCCCAGAGCAGGAATCTACACAAGAGATGCGGACAGGCCTAGGGGAATAGACCCATCGCCCAGCACCTCCTAGTCACGACTTAACAGGATCAACATTATATGTTATGAGGGGCAATCCCAGTAGAGCTGAAGGGGGCTAGTGCTACAAAAAGCAGCCCTGATCCTTTCTCACCCAGACAAAGTGTCTTCTTTAGGCTACAGAATCTAAGGCTTTCCATGTGGTTGGCAGTAAGGGTTAGGGGATGATGCTGTATTGGCCCAATCCACCTCCCTCTAACTTCTGCTTTTTCCATTTGAGAAAATATTTCTATCCCTACCCGGCTAGCTGCAGAGACCTTTACTGAGAAGATTATGAGGGGCTATAGGGCTTAAGCCTTCGTGTAGCGGGGCGGCCTGGCTCCCAGGCGCCCCTGTGAGGGACGAGCCCCACCCCGGAACGTCTACACTTGCCTTTCAGAGAAGCACAACAAATGATGAAGTAAGAAAGATGGTACATTGTTGATGTGACCAGACTGAAGAAAACCGTACAAAACAAAACACCAGCTCCAAAAAATTCTGGCTAGTTTTACTTCCTCCAGGCACTGAATAAAATGCAGACTCCAAGGGCTGCTAAACCTATAGCATTAAGGGTCACTGTTTCTTTTCACACACTAGTTATGCTTTCTCGGAAACAAGGCTAAAATGACAATAAAACGCTGCTTCCTACTTCTAACCATAAAACAATTACACTTAGGTCTGACTTCAACCCCAGATGGGCTGTGTTGTAATTGACACCACACCCACACATGTTCTGGAAGCAGATAATCCCATTTTAGCTGTGGTTTCCTAGGGAGTTAGACACATCCTGGAACCTATAAGGAATCATGTGGCTAAAGCCCTGCTATACTGACAATTTACTCTCTCATATGTAATTCCTCCAATTCTGAGTACGGGCACAGATCCACAGCTGGTGCAAATTGTCGCAAGTCCATGGATCTTTGTCAATGACACCAGTTCTCAGGGTCTGCCCCACTATTTCTTTTAAGAGTTCAGCTTTCCATGTGGCTAGAAATACAAAGAAACCCTATTTTGCAATCCGCAGTAACTGCTGCACATATCCTTTGTCACTTACCTGGGGACATCTTTATATTCTGTAGATGGGTTTTTTTCATGCCAGCTCTCATAAAGTGATTTGCCTCTAAACCCCTCATCTGGGCTTGGTATCTAGAGAAATACATTTAAAAAAAAAAAAGACAGAGAGATACAATTTTAAGTGTTATTAAGCAACAAATTCACAACCAGACACGACATAAAGTCGACTAGTTAGAACAATGACTAAGCCACTGACTCAGGTACCATGGGCAAATCACTCAGCCTTTCTGTGCTACATTCTACTTATTTGAAAAAAGGGTGTAATAATAGTTACCTATCTCACAACAGTGCAGTGAGTCTTAATTATTGTTTGTGCTGTGGTTTGTGGTGCTCAGATGAAAGGTGCTACAGACACACATAAATATTAATAATAATTAAGCTCATGTCATGCCTCTATTTTTAGTGTGTCCTCTGATTTACTCGGCAGTTTCAACAGCTTTAGGTATATTTTTTTCAGAAAGATTGCTACGTTTTTATTTCTTTGTTTAAGGAATTACTCAACAATAATAACCCAGCACAGAAAAGGTATTTGCATTTACCTCTTTAGGTCAAGATCAAGATTCTTAAAGAAGTAATGTGAAAGCATTTTGTCATGTATTGGCCCAGGAGAGGGATGGTGTAAGTCTAGTATTGCTCAGACATTAGCAACCAATAGGTTGTGGTATCACTAGGCCTAATTCTGTGTACTTTGCTAGTGGTACTCAGTTTGAGTATGGGTTGTGGAATCAGGTTCATTGTTAGGTAATTGGGCCAACAGTTTCAAAAGTGTTCTGGGTGCTCAATCTGAGATGCCTTTGGTTTGATTTGTAGAGGCGCTGAACACATACAGTTTCCACTGGCTATAGTGGAAGCTGTGGGTGATCCACATCAATGACATTTAGACCAGAACTATCTCAAGTTGAGCACCCGAAAACTGTGGCACCCAGTGTAAGCAGGCTCTTTTGAAAATTTGGTCCACTGGCTTTCAGTTGTCAGCAGTGACTATGTTGATTTGTGTGATGACATATACAAACCCCACACTGGCCTGGAAAGGGTTAATGAACTGCTGTGGGCTCAGTCAGCCCTGCCCCGCTACTCCTTGGAGGGAAAGGCTAAAAGGGGAGAACCCAACCTAGTTGGGAACTGGATGGGAGGGAGAGCAGACTTCCTGCTCCCACTCTGTGAGAGAGGCATGGCTGGGGCCAGGGACTGGGAGGAGTGGTAGATATGCTGGCGGGTAGGGATAGGATACAGAGGGACCTAGACAAATTGGAGGATTAGGCCAAAATAAACCTGATGAGGTTCAACAAGGACAAGTCCAGAGTCCTGCACTTAGGAAGGAAGAATCCCATGCACTGTTACAGATTAGGGACCGAGTGGGTAGGCAGCAGTTCTGCAGAAGAGGACCTACCTAATAAAATTTCACACAAAATACTGTTAACTTGGAATTAAGGTTGCACAAGTGCATTTTTGTTTAATACAGTCACTAAAAGTAAAGGAAATCTCCAGTTCAGCCAACTCTAACATCCACACGAAGCTCAGTTCAAAGGCTTTACCTGCCAAACATTGTAACAGTCAAACATACCCACCTCCACAACAAACTCCCTTTCACTTTCAACAAATGACCACCCAAATACAGGTCTGTCGCATCTTACGCGCATTTAACGTGTGCGATTTCAGCCTTACGTGGTCGGCAAAAATAACAAAAAAAGAAAGAAAAATAACAATTTTAATACTGTACCTGTAGTGCGGGCGATTCCGCCCGCCATTGAACTCAATGTAATTTTGACTATACGCGGTTTTCGCTTTACATGCTAACCGCGGAACGGAACCCCCGCGTAAGATGAGACTCGCCTGTAGTACACACCCAGTTCCTCACCAATCACACTCCAGCTGCATTCAACCAGTAAACCGTGGGATTTGAATCACATTGTGATAGTGTCTTCCAGGCGGCCTGGTGGCTAGACTACTGGCCTTTCAGTTTGTAAGGCGGGGGGGCGGGTAAGGGGACCTAGACCCACCCTCTCTACCGGGTCCCAGCCCAGAGCCCTGTGCAGATCAACCCCTAAACAGGTGAGATGGGGTCTCCCTCCCAGCGGGGAGTCAAGACCCACTTCCCTGGGCTACTTCCTACAAGTCTCTTCAATTTGGAGCGTGGCCCTGCTAGTCCAGTTGCCCCGAGTGCTGGGGCTTTTTTGTAGCCTCTCCTTGGCAGGGGAGCTCTTACTTGGTGCAAGTGGCTGCGCTGGCTGGCAGGTCACTGATCCATCCCTTCGGGCGGGCAGACAGAGCGCTCCTGACTCCTAGCCAGTCATCCCCCAGTTGAGCCAGGCTCCCTTCTTTTCTCCCCACTCCAGGCATGCATTGGCTGTAGGTCTAGTGGGGTGGGGCTAGCTGAACCCAAAGGTTTTATTTAACCCCTGCTGTGCCAAACACCAGTTTCTCTGCCCCCTCACACACGTTTTAAGGGAAAAACTCAACATAACCTTAGCTATGGAGTCACTACTGACCCCTCCGGAGTACCAGTATATAAGAAATGTGAATGGGTGACATTATTAAACTGAACTCTTGATGGCCAAATTCTACTCTCATTACATCTGGTCAACCACACTGGTGTCTGTGGTGGCACTGAGGTAAATGAGAGTGGAATTTGACCTTTGAGGCCTAACTATCTGATGATGCCCATGACAGATTTCACTACAATCAGCAGAAGCCCTGACAACTGTGCAGAATTTTGGCCTAAGTCTCTTTGTAATAAGAACAGTTTCACATCCAGTACAATAACCAGCTCCTATGGGTAGTTACTGTTGCTACCTTCGTTGATATTTTAGTGTATCTTTACCTCTTTGGTCAAGCTGTACACCAGGCTGTACATCAGCGGAGTACAATCAATTCTCAGAGTGTAGTTTCCTGAAAGACAAGGGCAGCGTTTACAATAGAAAACCAAGTCTGCTCTGTGTCTTTGTGGAGGGAGGAGGCATGTCTGTAATAAGAGGAGACACCAGGAGAAAAAAGCAGGATCTCCAAAGTAGATAGGGCTGCCAGCTGTAGGCTGCTCAGTGCATTCACACTGGCTTAGGATTTGGGCTGAATTGTGCTTCAGCTAGCACAGCAGCTCAGGGGTCCTGCTTTACACCCCTGTGCTGGCTACCCATATCACGGATAGCCGAACGGGAGGGGAAGCTGACTCTACAAAGCTCCTGGGAGGGGTGGATAGTCTCCCTTTCCTCCCCACAACACCATGTGTCAGATAGTGTAGTTATATGCCCAGCATAGTATACTCCCTCCCTGAAGCAGGAGGGTAATTGTAACTCTGGGTCACCATCTCCCTCCCAAGCTGCTCCTGGGCCAACACAACAATGCGCTTTTCTTAGGGCTCACGGCAAAGCCAGCACGGAGCCTCAAGTGAAGTTGTCTCAATTTCATCTACCTCCCACCTGCCACTGCTATAGAAACACAAGTATACACCTTCAACTGAGGAATCGGCATTGATATAGGCCACCCCACGTGCTTGTAATAGTTTGGCATTTTCCTGTGGTGGGGGAAAAAAAGAAGTTAGTTAACTTTTCTCCTCAAAGTAACACTGTAAATTTTAACTAGAATCTTGCAGCTTTCCAAACTACCACAATCCAGCCCATATGATACTTTTGGGCCCACACGTCAGTCTTGACTCCCAAAGCAAGTGGACTGAGTGACACACGAATCAGTTTCTTTCAGAGCAAGGTGAACTGCATACAAGAGTTTTTGGATAAGTATTTAAAGGTGAGATTTGGGGCCCATTCGAACCAAACTCAAGGTTTTGTTTAGTTAAATGGAGCAGATTCTCTGAACTACTATAGGTGGTACCTCATGCCTTCTTCACTGTTAGGAACATACGAATGGCCATACTGGATCAAACCACCTAGTTCAATATCTCATCATCTGCACTGGCCAGGAACAGCTGCTTCAGGGGCGAGTGCAAGAAACACTGCAACAGACAGTTACGGGATAACCTGTCACCAAGGGAAATATCCTCCTAATCCCATTAGTCCGAGGTTTGCTTATGCCATAAATCTTGCAGGTATTTATATGCTTTCCAAAATTCTTGCTGCTTTAATATTTACTATTACAGCTCTGCATCTGAATCTGCTAAACTTCTGGCCTCAACAGCTTCATGTTGCAATGAGTTCCATAGGCTAACTGTGTGCTATATGAAAATAAGTCATTCTATCGGTTCTGAATTTCCCACCTTTCAATTTCATTGAATGTCCCTTTGTTCTTGTGTTATGAGACAGGAAGAATAGAAGTTCCCAATCTCCCTTTTCTAGATCATTCATTATTTTGTGAACTTTTGTGATTTATAATTACCATGTCATTCAAGAGAAAACAAGAAGATTTTGCAGTAAGGAAAACTGTGGATGATAAAACAGCAAGCCAGTCATACTTCACATGCTGAAAAGGAGCCTCAATGCAAGATTTATGGGCCTTCTTTGGAATGATTTGAGTTAGAACAGTCTTTAGCTTGACCTTGTGGGTGCTTTTAAAGTCAATGAACCAGTGTCTTCCTCTAAATGGTTGTACAGAGACATGGTACCCTTGATTCTGAATATTATTAATACAGATGGATTTATGACACTGGGTATTCACAATCTCAGTACGAATCAGAAAGTTCTAGGGCAGAAGTCACTCTTAATAGGGCAGCAACCAAAACAACAGACCTGATTCTGATCTCGCTTACTTCAGTGTAAATCTCAAGCAGCTCCACGGGAGTTAATGGAATGACACCTATTTACAATTGGTTTGAGAGGAGAATCAAGCCCAATATCTCCAATTGGCAGGGTCACTACCTGCAAGTATAGGTTGGTATATTCTCAGACACACTTTGTTTTGGGATGTAGCATTGTTACTTTGGTCATATGTGGCCTCTTCAGATGAAATTCACACTGAGGTTGCTCATTGCTAAAGCTGAGAATAATTTACTTTATTCATGGGGAAGGGTTATTACTAGGGTCCTACCAAATTCACGGCCATGAAAAAAGTGTCACGGACCGTGAAATCTGATTTCCTCCCCCCCATGAAATCTGTATATTATAGGGTAAAAGCACATAAAAGACCAGATTTCACCAGGGAGACTAGCATTTCTCAAATTGGTGGTCCTGACCCAAAAGGGAGTTGCAGGGGGGTCACAAGGTTATTTTAGGGGGATCACGGTATTGCCACCCTTACTTCTGCACTACCTTCAGAGCTGGGCGACTGGAGAGCGGCAGCTGCTGGCCTGGAGCCCAGCTCTGAAAGCAGCGCCCCACCAGCAGCAACACAGAAGTAAGGGTGGCAATATCATACAATAAAAAGAACAGGAGTACTTGTGGCACCTTAGAGACTAACAAATTTATTAGAGCATAAGCTTTCGTGGGCTACAACCCACTTCTTCGGATGCACGAAAGCTTATGCTCTAATAAATTTGTTAGTCTCTAAGGTGCCACAAGTACTCCTGTTCTTTTTGCGGATACAGACTAACACGGCTGCTACTCTGAAAAATATCATACAATGCCATCCTTACTTCTGCACTGCTGCTGGTAGCAGCTCTGCCTTCAGAGCTGGGCTCCAGGCCAGCAGCCGCCGCTCTCCAGCTGCTTAACTCTGAAGGCAGCGTCACTGCCAACAGCCGCGCAGAAGGGTAGCAGTACCACAACCCCGCCTATAATAACCTTGTAACTACCTCACAACTCCTTTTTGGGTCAGGACCCCTACAATTACAACACCGTGAAATTTCAGATTTAAATAGCTGAAATCATGAAATTTACGATTTTTAAAATCCTATGATTGTGAAATTGACCAAAATGGACCGTGAATTTGGTAGGGCCCTAGTTATTACTTGAATGTTGCGGGACTGGTTTTTTTGGTATTTAGCAATACAACCTTGGACACTCTCTCATGTGTTGAGTGTATATGAACATGCTTCATTGGAGGAGGTTCCAAAAAGTGGGGGAAAGATCTACCATTGTACAGAACTCTCTTAGATCACTTATTCTTGATTTACCTCAGCCCACTCTGTAGATCCTAGCAAGCCAAATTCCTCCGCATCCCAGCTTGCAAATATCATTGTTCTCCTGGGCCTCCATCCTACAATAATACAAGATTTAAAGCACCAAGAGAATTACTCCAGAGAAATACACTGTGAGTGTATATCAAACGGAAATTAAATCATACCATGAGTAACAACAGTTTGGGTCTCAGCTGCAAGAATGATGTGTGGCGCAAAAGGCACACTTGGGGAATCTATCCCCAAAATCTTTTGTAATTTTACTCATAGTTTGCAGTACAGACCTTTGTCTTTGCTCAGTACCTGAGGTGATTGACATTTTCCTAAATTCAACATTTTGGCAAATAACTGGGGAAGACTTTTTGCAAAAGTGTTTTGATTTTTTACAACCAGCTCTACTCAATACAGATATTAATTTACTGTCCTCTTTCTTTTCAATATACATCTTAGTACTTGTTCCATGTCTAGTGCCATAAAGGCTTTCCCGGACCCTCTTCCCAAACACCAACTCTCAAATACCGAGGATTCCCCGTTGTGGCTTTGATAGATTCACCTCTAAACAATGATCTTTGCATGTGACTTGAAGCCATGGTAATCTGGAGCGGGGTATATTGCAATGTGTTTTTATCTGTATCTACTTTATCCAAGCTCTCCTTCATGCCACTGCTATTACTCCCCTTCCTGGTTGGTTTCACTAAACATTGTTTCCTATTATGTTCGGTAACTAGGCAGTGAAGGAAACAAATTAACCTCTAACTGGTTTTAAATGCTGTGGTTGGGCAAAGAAAGCTACTGTAGCACAATGTTCCGGTTATGTCAGGACTTCTGTCTCCAGGATTTCAGACTCAATAAAAGGAGACTCCATTTGTTCTGGTAGCTGACTTTTAATGGTGTTGATGTTCCTCACTACCCTGGTGTATAACTAGGAACCTTGTATTTTTAAACTTGTTCTCCCATTAATTTTCCACTGTGTATCCTGTACGTATTCCGAGTCCCATTCACACTGGTTTAACACTAATGTACACTTAACTGATTTGGAAGCTATAAATGTTGTCTTCTCAGACTTGGTCCACACTGGGACGGGGGATCGATCTAGGAAACGCAACTTCAGCTACGAGAATAGCGTAGCTGAAGTCGACATTTCCTAGATCGAATTAAGTTTACTTACTGCGGGTCCACGCAGCGCAGGCAAGCTCCCCCGTCGACAGCGCTTCCTCCTCTCGGCGAGCAGGAGTTCCTCAGTCGACGGGGGAGCGCTTCTGGGATCGATTTATCACGTCCAGATGAGACGCGATAAATCGATCCCAGAAGATCGATCTCTACCCGCCGAATCAGGCAGGTAGTGTGGACCTAGCCTCAGATTCTTGCTTACTCTCTTATGGCATAGTTCCATAGATTTTTAAGGCCAGATGGTACTACTACATGATCTAGTCTGACCTCTTGTGTATCACAGACCGTAGAATTTTAACCAGTTACCCCGTATGTCATATTTACTTCCCCATCTTCTACACACTACCTGATTTTCTTCCCTAGATGAAACTTCCTATACCCATCACCATTTTGGAACCCAAGGGTGTCATAACATCAATAATTTGATTAACTAATTATAGTTAAGATAACAGTGATTAGCAGCTGCAAAGCACTGTAAAGATGAAAACTGCTATACAAGAGTTCAGTAATTTCTATAATTTAGATACTTTAATTCCTTGCCAAAGCAAATTTACCACACTATGAATGAGAGAGGCACGTAGGCCAAGATCCACGAAGGGACTTAGGCATTGCAACGTAGAGCATGTCTACCGGCTCAGACTTCTGCACACAACTTAGGCTGCTGAATGCCTAACATCCCTGGTTTGTGAATTGTTCTGGGGCTTAGGCATGAGAAACAGATCTGGGCACCTAAAGCGTGGCTGCAATGTGCATGCTCATAAACAAAAACGTAGGCCCTGAGCAAATTTAGGCACCTACAGGGTTAGGCAGAAGCTGACCAGCAGTTTTGTGGATTACAATGGTGCCTAAAAATGGGACTTAGATGCCTATATATCTTCATGGATCGCACCTTTGGATACCATAATTATAGGGATTTTGAAATATCTACAATAGATAACTGAAGAGTTGACAGCAAATTCCAAATATGAAGGACTAAGGCCTTGATTTAGCAGAGCACTTAAGCCCGTACTTAACTTAAATCAACTGACAGCAGAAATTTGACCCTTAGTTTAAGAAAAATCTGTAAATGGTTTTGTTTGCTTTATTCTTTAGTCACATACCTTCCTTCTTCAATTTCCCATAACTTCTCACAATCTCATGAACCACAGCTGCCCCACTCTGAGGATCAATTCCACCAAAGACCCAGGAGTCACGGTGGCCTCCCAGGATGACGTATCTGTCTGGAGAAATTAATGATGGGGGTTTATTTGGAGGATCTCTTTCCTGCAGTAATAGTGTCAATAGAGAGTCACTATGTATTCTAGGTAGGTTTGCAGGCAACAAATACATCACTTTAACAGTTTACTTCACATGTGGCAGAATGGCAGGAGCCACTGTAAATCTCTTTGGAAAAAAAATTACAGGAAAGTTTATTGCTGAACTGCAGCTGGTTTGTGGCTTATTTATATTAGCATCTGTAGAAGTTCTAAACTTAGTAGCACTTTAACCCCAAAAGATGTTTATAACAGACACCATAACAATAACTAGTTCCAACTGCAGTCTACGTTTTTAAAGTTGTTGCAATTTCTGACATGCATCATTTTCCAAAATATTCATCATTTGGGCTTTTCATTTTCTATGCTGTCTCTTTGCCTGAAGTTTAATCAAGTCACATGAACAAGCAAACAAAAACTGTATGAACCACCAAATCTAAAATAAAACTGCACACATTTAAAAACTGTATCAAAACCAATAACCTTCTGGGTTTCTATTTATCTTCATTATTCTGTTTCAAATCCCTCCTTAAAACTTTCCTTTGCTATGACAGACACTCCATCATACACCTTATTGTTGTGCATTTGATGATCAAAATTGGCCCAGTATTTACATTTTTACATCATGAGTGTTCTTAACTCAACAAGTTTTAAAGACACTGAAGTAGTATTTTCTTGCCCTAGGTGAGAGGTACATTACGAGTGTTAACCAAGTCACAATGGAAGATGTAGTTGACATGATATAGTATCAAAGAAAGAATAAATCCTACTGTCTTGCTTGATGTTGTTACAATTGTGATTCAGCCCAGAAATGGCTGTATTGTGGTTGCGGATGACGTGATCTTACCACCCTATAAATATCTGAAAATGAGTTCCAGGGCTTTCACATCATGTTGGATAAAAGATGCCATAATATAGTACACATAAGCCATTAAGGGGTGAAACCATTTCATTGGCAAGAACATGAATGTCTTTTCAAACTCGTAAAGATCTAAACTTCCATTTATTATTAAATTCCCACAACTCTCTCATTAAAAAAATCCATTAGAGAATGTACTTGCAATATTGCTTGCCGCAAATGTTTATATCTAGGTTATGTTCCCCTTGGAAAACCAGTTTTTATAGTGAAAGTGCTGACATAACCTAAACTGTATGAGTGCTGCTGCAGGAATTCCCCAATGTGTACAAACAGACGTGCTCACCAAGTAAAATATAGAGAAAACCCTCTTCCACGTCCTCTCTTTTTAATTACTTATGTTTAATTACGTGTATCTGCAGTTCACTGCACCCACAGATAATTTATAAGACAAATGGCTTTACCTGGTTCTGTTGCTCCTCTGATGGTACCGATCACGTTGTAAATTCTTGTCACTTTATTGCTACTGTGAATGTGCATTTTGACCTTTCTAATGCATTGGAAAGCAAATTTAAAGAGAGAACTCATCAGATTACTTAATAAAACATTATATGCTTTAAAATGTATGATATATATTGTTCATAGTGAGAGATTAAGGGCAGAATTTTGCTCTCAGTTAAACAAATGTAAATCTGGAAAAAGTCCACTGAAGTTGCTCCAGCTTTATATTACTGAAATTGAGGACACAATTTGGCATTGGAAAGTTACCTAATCACATTGTTGGTGCTATGATTTATGCTGGTAACATGCTCTTTATACTGGTTGGTGCTATGATTTATACTGGCAACAGACTAAAAGCTCTGAACTTAAAATAATGTTCTGTTAGCAGCTGTTTTTAAAGTTGGGAGGGAGAAAGGAAAAATAACATATTTTATAAATATTTTATTAAAAATCTAGAGGTTGGTTCCTCTGTCACATAGCCAGTGTAACTCCAGGGTAACTCCACTGCAGAGAATGGAATCACAGGGGTTGGAGTCAGTGAGACATCAGGCCCCAGAACATCAGGAGACATTCTAAGTTGTATCACAAAAATGTCTTTTGTTCCATTATGTACCAGCCAACCTAAGGGGCAGCATCTGACTCTCAGTGCAGTCCTGTATGTCTTTAATCTCATTTTCCTGATGATTTGACTATAGTAGGAGGAGGAAGCCAAGTGGTTCATCTGAGGTCATTACAATAGTTCAGCCTGAACGAGAACTCCAGGATTCATGTGGCTTCTAGCCGTTGGCTGTAATTCAGTAGATCATGTGGCCTCAGTCATAGCCACCTGAAGCAAAAATGAGGCCTTGCAATTTAAGGAATGACACATTACATTAGAATTTTCAGAACAATGTACATTTGAGACTAATAACATCCTTATTTTATATGATGCAACAAATAGTCCCAAAGCTGAAGACAGATTAGTTCAAAATAGACGTGAGTGGAACTTTTATTGTGAGGCCTTCAACTCAGCCCTGATTGATCAGAGAGTTTGCTAAGATCTGGAAACCTTTCAAATGAATTTGGGCCATGGACTGCTTGAACCTTGAACATTGTACGAATCTGCATCAAAACCAGGAGACACTCAGCCGATGTTTTGCTTTGAGTTCACTTTAGCCCAGAAACAACGCCATATGCCCTGACACCAAGGAAAAACTTGCAATGACCCCCAAATGTCAAAACTTGCAGAGCTCTAGTTCAGAGATTTCACTAACTGTTGTTATATTTCCCTATCTATTAAAATGTCAATGCTTTATGTAATGCAAAACTGACCTTGTAGAGTAACGGCTCATGAAACCAGGACCAATGTTGTAAGACACATTCAGGCTTCCTTTCCAGCTGCTGTCTGGTGGGACAGGTCCTCCCATGTTACTGTTATAAAAAAATCTGTTTTTTATTATTTATTATTTGTATAAGTGTAGTGCCTAGGAATGCCAGTCATGGACCAAGCCTCTACTGTGCTAAGCGCTGTACAAACACTGAACAACCCCCCCCAGACCTTACTTCAAAAAGATTACCATCTAAGCTTTATAACAAAAAATGTATTGAATAGGCTTCTAAAATGGAGGGGAATTGGACTGGATGATTCAAGTGATCTTTTCTTGCACCACTGCCTATGGGCTAGATCCTGGTCTCAGTTACACCCTTGTAAATCCAGAGTAACTCCATGTATTTGCATCAGTGGAATGACATCAGAATTGGATACACTAAGCTGATGTTTTGGCTATTCAATTTAAATTACATTTCAGTGATACACATGGACTTGTGACGAATGTAGTTTATTTAGCTTCAAAACGTGCTAGGGTCTTGAAAAAACGTAGACTAAGACCAGTCCTTATTCTAAATAGTGAACAATCCAAAGCCCCAAACTAAGTCAATAAAAATCAGTGCCTGCTTAGCTGTCTGCGTGAATAGATGCCTTTTTTAATATTTATATATTTTGCTAAGTGCATATAAGAATTGGGGTAATCTTCAGGGTCTATGAATGTCAGAAGGTAGCCCTGATTCTGGCCCCAAATCAGCATAACACTTAAGTGTGTACTTTATTTTAAGCATCTGTATAAATTCATCCACATTCAGCAAAGCTATTAAGAATATACTTTATGCCCAGGAGCCTCTAGGATGGAATCTATGGAAAATGCATTTGTTTTATAAATAGGAAGAACTAGGCATTCTGATCTTTATATAATAAATAAGAACCAAATGTCTATTGAGGGTGTATGTTTCATATATGTTTTTAAAACTAACTCTCTAGATATTTACAACTCAATTAAAGGCAAATTACTAGTTGTGCTACATTGCCAACTACTGACTGGCTCATCCGATCATAAAAAGACAGTTTCAAACTCACATCACTTTTTTATGAACTAAGCATAACGTTTTGTGGGAAAGTGATTTGGGAATACAGTATTCCTTAGCAGGTGGGCCTGAAATATGTGCTTACACTAGGACCATATCAGTGAAAGCTAGGCATAGACTGATTTTTAAACTTCATCCAAAGAGGGCCTAATTGTGCTCTCTTATGCAGGTAGACAGCTCATATTTGCTTCAGGAAAGGTCATGCACATACAGCTAGGGGAATAATTCAGCGCAGGAAGAATGCCTAACATAAATGCAAAGACCAGTTATAAGCAAGTTATATGTAAACCCGAGATTGACAATATCATGCACATTGTCTGGAATTGCCAAAAGTTTTGGATTTGTGTAGCTTTTAACATTGTATCTCAGATGGCTTAAACAGATGTAAAATCAAATATGTTGGACTTTCCCTGTCAGAAGCTAGGAATTGTATTATGTGTTACTAGAGAAAAGAAACTATTATATCAACAGATTAAAGCCCAACTGATGTACAAAGCAGAAAAGCAAAAAGATAAATGTGTGGGAGCCTATGTCCCATTGAAAGTCAATGGACACTAAGTCACTCTGACATTTTTTTCAAAAGAGAAGGAAGTAAAAAAAGAAGTTTATGTTGCTGATTCAAAACGTTTAGTTTTTTTTAAAAAAAAGTCTTTTCATGCTTCCATGATGATACACCAAATACCCAAGAGTTACAACTGGATGTGGGGGGAAGAGGGAGGGGGAAGGGAGTACACAACTTTACAGTACCTCCAGGGCGCCAGGATTTTCATGTCCGCCTTGCCCATAATGACCCTAATGTTCTAATTTTTCCAAATACTCTTGCCAAGGTATTTGTGAATGTGATCTCTGACCTTTTTGTTCTCAACACTGAACACTAGCTTATTTCTGGCTCAAATAAAGATTTCTGCAAGAGGGGGAGAGGGAGGCAAGAGAGGGAGAGAAATAACTTTTGTAGAGCAGGGAAACAGAAGAAAGAAAAAGACTGAAGAACTTGTACCAGCACACTGTGTCCCCTTCGTCACTGCTCACTAGAATGATCTCTGATGCACAACCAAGTTGGAAGCTATTATTTTAAGATTACTTAGGCTTAAAATTTCACAGATTAATTTTCATAAAGCTTGTAAGACAGACAGGTCCACAGACTTTTTATACATACACTGTAAGCTCTTTGGGGCATGGACATTGTTCACTTTTATTGCCCTGATCCTAAATGTGCTTATGCACAAGAGTCACTTTATGTGAATAGATCCATTGAGTTCAACAGGGTTATTTATGGACATAAAGTTAGTGTGTGTGTTTGCAGGATTGGGGCTTGTTAACACAATACACAGCACCATCGGACTCTGAGCACTATCATCAATATTAAATAATTAGGGCTGTCAAGCGATTAAAAAAATTAATTGTGATTAATCACATGATTAAAAAAATAATTGCAATTAATCGCACTGTTAAACAATAATAGAATACCATTTATTTAAATATTTTTGGATATTTTCTACATTTTCAAATATATTGATTTCAATTAAACACAGAATACAGTGTACAGTGCTCACTTTATATTTATTTTTTATTACAAATATTTGCACTGTAAAAAACAAAAGAAATAGTATATTTCAATTCACCTAATACAACTACTGTAGTGCAATCTGTTTATAATGAAAGTTGAACTTACAAATGTAGAGTAATGTACAAAAAATAAGTGCATTCAAAAATAAAACAATGTAAAACTTTAGAACCTACAAGTCCACTCAGTCCTACTTCAGCCAGTCACTCAAACAAACAAGTTTGGTTACAATTTGCAGGAGATAATGCTGCCCTCGTCTTGTTTACAATATCACCTGAAAGTGAGAACAGGCATTCGCATGGCGCTGTTATAGCCAGCATCGCAAGATATTTATGTGCTAAAGATTCATATGTCCCTTCATGCTTCAACCACCATTCCAAGGGACGTGCCCATGTTGATGGGTTCTGCTCGATAACGATCCAAAGCAGTGCAGACCGGCGTATGTTCATTTTCATCATCTGAGTCAGATGCCACCAGCAGAAGGTTGATTTTCTTTTTTGATGACTCGGGTTCTGTAGTTTCCACATCGGAGTGTTGCTCTTTTAAGACAGCTGAAAGCATGCTTCACACCTAGTCCCTCTCAGATTTTGGAAGGCACTTCAGATTCTTAAACCTTGGGTTGACTGCTGTATCTATCCTTAGAAATCTCATTGGTACCTTCTTTGCATTTTGTCAAATGTACCGTGAAAGTGTTCTTAAAATGAACATGTGCTGGGTCATCCTCCGAGACTACTATAACATGAAATATAAGGCAGAATGTGGGTAAAACAGAACAGGAGACATACAATTCTTCCCCAAGGAGTTCAGTCACAAATTTAATTAACGCATTATTTTTTTAACGAGCATCATCAGCAGGGAAGCACGTCCTCTGGAATGGTGGCCGAAGCATGAAGGGACATATGAATGCGAAGGCCTGTTCTCCCTTTCAGGTGACATTGTAAATAAGAAGCAGTCATCAGTATCTCCTGTAAATGTAAACAAACTTGTTTGTCTTAGTAATTGCCTGAATAAGAAGTAGGACTGAGTGGGCTCTAAATTTTTACACTGTTTTGTTTTTGAGTGCAGTTATGTAACAAAAAACCCTACATTTGTAAGTTACACTTTCACAATAAAGAGATTGCACTACAGTACTTGTCTGAGGTGAATTGAAAAATACTATTTCTTTTGTTTATCATTTTTACAGTGCAAATATTTGGAATAAAAAATATAAAGTGAGCACTCTACACTTTGTATTCTGTGTTGTAATAGAAATCAATATATTTGAAAATGTAGAAAAAATCCGAAAATATTTAATACGTTTCAATTGGTATTCTATTGTTTAACAGTGCGATTAATCGCGATTAATTTTTTTAATCGCAGTTAGTTATTTTTTAGTTAATCGCATGAGTTAACTGTGATTAATCGACAGCCCTATAAATAATGTAATATTAAATAGTAATAATAATACCGCACATCCTACCAAAATCTAAAAGCAAAAGCTGATCGTTAAACTCACCCCAGCACCTGGCCTCAGGGCAAATGAATGAATGTCCTAGAGAATTATTTGACTAAACAAGGAATCTGATGGTCACTAGCTTTGTGTAATTGCACCTAGAGTACAACTAACATGATAGGTTTAGTCTGGAAGCTAACAACAAATGAGTTTTGCCTTACAAGAAGGTAAGAATTTTGCTGAATGAATGAGAAATGCTAGATGAACACTGGGTCCAAGTTTTGGCTGGTTGGCATCGTTTCACATTCAGCTGATTTAATACATTGTAAGAGAGTGCCTGTATCTAGCAATGTGGGGATGGCACACAGGTCCTTACCCATCCTCCAGACATGAGAGAGAAATGTTTCACAGGGTGAATGGTTGATTCATTTGGGGGTGTCACCTCCCAAAAGGTGGTGACTTGACAGCCCTGCTAATTATTACACTTTGATTACTTATTCAAATTAAGGTACATTTTATAGCTTCAGTAAAACATTTATTTATTCTGATTTATTTAAAATGCTTTGGGCACATACCCAACATACACTAACTATCTAATAAAATGCTTCCTTACGTTTTTTCCCTGGAGGTCCCCATAATAGCAAACAAACTACTTTAGTAAATGTGCCAGAGGAACAGTATGAATTATTTTCTCTCCTTCTTTCAAATACCTACATGAATTTCACAAGACATTCTTATGAAGCTTCCCCTTGTCTTCCATTTACTTACCGTAATAACTTTTCAGCATCATTGTATCCAATGGGATGGACTGGAAGTTTCGGAAGACCTACAGCCCTGGCTTCTTCATATCGATAGGTATACTCTGGAGGTATAAGGCTGCTGTTTATTTTATCTGACTTTTAAGGGTGAGTCATACAACATGTAGCACAGCACTACATAGAAGTCAGGAATAATTACCCTGCTGTGCTAAAAATGAGGTCGAGATTTCTACAAGAACGCTGTTCTCTACATGACATAAATACAGTTTCATAGAGACCTCAACTCATTCTCCTTGGGTGTCCACAACCCTGCATCCCATTTCCCAGTCTGTTGTGTGTGCAAAATTCCCACATTTGGAAGCCATTTCTGAATACAGTTCCTTTGTAGGATGGCTGAGAGAAGGATTTCCTTAACATGGGAGTGGGAGGAACCCTGGCTGGGGGGGTAAAGGGCATACGGGGCTTTCTTGCAGAGAATATCATTGGATCTAGTGCAGGGATGGCAGCTGATCTCCTACTTTCTCCCCACTATCTTTTCCTGCTGCACTGAGAGGCACAACAGTAGGGATGGGAGGAGAGATGGCCACAAACAGCTCTACAGGGAAGTGCGGCCCCATCAAAGGGCCAAGTGGCTGAAAGGGAAACAGATCCAGTCTTGTAGAGCTGCGGAGCTAACGATACCTCCGCTCCATGCAAGTGGGCTTTGGCCACCCGTAGTGTGCGGAAATGAAGGGGAAGAGACAGAAGGTTTAGTACATATATCTGTTTAAACACACACACACACACACACACACACACACACACACATAGGGTATTGTACATATTGGGCTCCGGGAAGCACTGCTAAAGGATCCCCCCCAGCCTAAGGGGAGGATCTACAGGACCTGAAACCCAACTGATTTCGTGGGACAACTAATAAAATAACAGGGACAGGAGTGCGGTCAAAGGGACAGGAGTGTGGTCAAAGGGTCAAAAGAAGGGAACCTGATGGGGACACCGAGCAGAGAATGGCGGACAGCGCCCACTGCTCCTCAAAGGCATCAAGGGAGCCAGTGGACACCGCCCAGAGGAACTCTGCCTGGATACGTGACCGGACAGAGGATCGGAAACAGACCCCACAGTCACAGGAGTCTCCATCGGCCAACCTCCTCTCCCTGGTTTTATAGATGGCCGTTTTAGCCAGGGCCAGGAGGAGGTTGACCGGGAGGTCCCGCGACTTTGAGGGGCCACAGATAAGGAGTGCGTAAATAAGAAGGTGAGGGGAAAAGTGCAGCCAAAAACATAACAGAATATTCATGAGGAGCCCGGCATAGGGGCTGCAACCTGGCGCACTCCAAGTAAACGTGCGCCAGGGTCTCCCTCACGCCGCAGAAGGGGCAGGTATCCGGGACAGGGGTAAACCGCGCCAAATACACGCCCGTGCTCACGGCCCCGTGAAGGAGCTGCCAGCTGATATCCCCAGCGGGCCTTGGGACCAGGGTGGAGTATAAGCTGGCCCACCGGGGCTTCTCACCCTCCACAGGTGGCAAGAGGTCCTGCCACTTTGTGTCGGGGCGGGACACGAGGATGAGGAAGTGAAGGGTGTGGAGCATGAGCGTGTATAGGTGTTTCCTTGGCGCGGTCTGGAAGCGGACCGGCTGCATATCATGCAGCCGGCTCACGGAGAAGGGGCGGGGGGGCCGGTTGGGTCCACGGGGTAGGGGCCCGATGAAAAGGTACGGAAGGCCTGGGGTGGAGGGTAGGTGGGGCGTGCCCTTGTGCAGGACCCGGTCGAGGTAGGCCCGAGCAGCGGGCGGCAAAGCGGCCCTCACCTCCTGAAGTACGCGCCGGGGAGTATAAAGCCTGGAGAGCCCCATACGCCGAGCGAGCGTCAGGGGATCCAGCCAGTCTCCCCAGTCATAATCCAGGGAGTCTCCGACTCTGGTGACTTCTGCCAGGACCAACCTCTGGCGCACCGAGGGGGACTCCGCCACCTGCACACGGAGCTGGGGGTTGTGTAGCAGGGGCTCCACGAGGAGATCTGCCCCCCCCCCTGGTGGCCGCCACGGACCTGGTCGCTGAGAACCGTTTCCAGGTCCGGAGGAAGTCCTGGTAGAAGACCGGCAGCCTGGAGAGGTCGCGCGGAAGACCTCTCGGATCAAGATAAAGGAGCTGCCGGTCGTATCAGAGCCCTCAGAAGCAGCGCAGGAAGACGTGCGCCAGTACTCTCCACGCCGGACTACCTGCACCATAAAGGAGCCTCTGCAGGGCCTGGAGGCGGAAGACATGGACGTGAGTGCATAGGCACTTCAGGCCCTGCCCTCCCTCCTCTAGGGGCAGGTGGAGGACCCCTGCAGAGACCCAGTGCAGTCCTGGCCAAAAGACCTCCAGAATCGCCCTCCGGAGGTCGGCCAGGAAGCCTGGGGCCAGGACCAGGGTGTTGAGCCAGTACCAGAGCATGGACAGGACTAGTTGATTGAATACCAGTGCCCTCCCTCGAAGGGAGAGGCACCGGAGTAGTCCTGTCCATTTCCGGAGCCGCTCTGTCACCCTGCCCTGTAACCCGTGCCAGTTCTCCGGCGGAGACGGATGCATGGCAGAAAGGTAAAGATAGAGCAGTAGACCCGCGCTCCACCGAATGGCCTGAAGCACGGGTGGGAGGGAGCCTGCCTGCCACCTGTCCCTACATAGGGTACTGTAGCGGGGTGGACACCCGCTCCTGCCTGGAAGGGTTTAAAAGCAGCCCTGGAGAGGGCTGTGCCTGGGGATGGCTGATTGGGGAAGCAGCGGCAGCTGGGCCACGCCCCAATCAGGCCTCAGCTGGCCCTATATAAGAGGCTGGGAGATAGGAGCTAACAGATTCCCTCTAGCTTCTGAGAGGGAGGGACCTGGCTGCAGGGACCTGAGCAGAGTACCTGAGTGGAGCAGGGCTGGGGACAGGCCGAGGAGCTGGGGAGCAGCTGGAAAGCCCCAGGCTGCGGCCTAGCAGAGGGCCCATAGGTACTAGGGGTTGCAGAGGGCAGCCCAGGGGTAGGCAAAGACAGCAGGTCCAAACCCAACCTGGCCTATGATGAGTGGCTGACGCTGCAGTCTGCCCCAGGACACGGGGGCTAGTTGGTGACTGGCAGTAGCCCACGACTGAGGCAAGGTGGGGATAGAGGGCTGGGGGTTCCCCTGGGTAGGGAGACCCTGAGAGAAAGAAGGGTTACTGCTAGGGGGCAGCACCCTAGAGAACAGGGCACCGGTGTCCAGGGAGGGACATGGGGGCCAAGCAGCAGCAGGACACCGGCCTGCAGAGGGCGCTCCGGAGGCTGGAGAAGAGCTAATTCCCGAAATGACCAGCAGGAGGTGCCGCAGGGGTGAGTCCCTCTCCTCTACAGGTATATATATTACCCTAACAAAACATGTGTATGTTGCCCTGTGACGGCTGGCCCCAGTGAGCTAGGAGTTGTACCAGCACAGAGGGTGTCCCCTCCCAGTCCAGTATTTGGGCTGTTAAACGTTAGTCATAACCTCAGTGTTATTCCCCCATGCAGACTGTTCTCTCCAATGCTGCCCACTCTGAATCCTCTGACAGCATCCTGCTCCCTCTTGTGGGTCCCATGCAGCAGCACTCTGTGAAGGAGGAGCCCGAAGCTGCCCCCTCCATGCAATGGCAATTACAGATGGGTTTATATACATCTGCTCCAAAGGAATGAGGACTGTCCTGTCACCCTCTCCCACCCTTCCTGAGACCAGACCCCTTTGGGACCACCTGGCTCTCATCAGAGCTTGGGCCATGGCAATGGCTTCTTCTCGACGCCACTCACCTTTTGCCGGATAACCTGGCGTGAGAGGATCCCCTGCCCCATTTAGATTTAACACATTCCCGCGCTGGGCTCCACCTCCAGGAAGGTTCCAGCCATTTGGATAAGGATCTACTCCAGGGGCGCAGTAGTCAGCAGGGTCTGAATACAGAATAACTCCCGTGGCACCAACCAGCTCAGCATTCTTCACCTAAAAAGCATATCTCATTTCCTTATTCAGTCCTTGACAGCTTGACACCAATGCATGAATTCTCCAGGCCATGGTCCCAAAGTGAGAGGAGGGTACGTGGCATTTCACAGAATAGACTCTTTGATTCTTTGCTTTGAGGGAACTGATTAAAGCAGCATCCCCTTTTAGATTCCTCAAAGGAGGGATGAAAATGATGACAAGTCCTAGGACAGGAATCTCATTTATTACCATTCTGGCATTGTAAAGGGCTATAAATTATATTAACACTCACTTTAAGGCCCCTTGACACTACCCGAGTGGCTTAAAGGGATTTTAGTGTAAATAAGTAACTGGCCCAGAATTATTCTCATGTCATGCAATTTCCTGGCAGCCAGTAGGTTTGGTATCCTGCTGAGAAACGTGATACAGCATGTGCATAAGGGACTTGGTGCTACTTAGAATCCTCGGCAGGAGATATGTGCAATAACATGGAAACACCACTCCCAGCGTACTACTGTACCAAGCGTAATTCTAGTTTGTTTCCTGTCACCCAGACAAAAACAAGCAGCTGATTACTGAAATATTCAGTGCACAATATAAAAATCTGACAAGTGTTAATACAACCTGAAATCTTAGTTGCTAAGTGAACGCTTTACACTGAATATCTCCGGGGCGGGTTTCAGAATCGTAAACCATACGAGACAGAAAAATGTATTACTCCAGGATTTGAATCTGCCATTTGTTTGAACATGTACATAAAGCCAAAGAGTAACTGTTTATCTTTAGGCTTGCAGGGGCATTAGATCAGCTCTGTGCTGTTTTGACAAAGGGAAGGGTTTTCATATCTGTGTTTCTGGCAAACAAAATCAGTGTTTAACTCTGGCCCACAGATAGTGCTTTGAGATGCTACAGATCTCATTTTGGCTTCTTAATCTATTTTGCTGCAGGTAACACAGATCAACATAGTAACGGAGTGGCAAATAATCTTCAACTGAGGTTGTAAGGTCCAGATATTTTAGTCAAAACTTATCATAGCCATGCCCAGGACATACAATATTTGCCTTCATCCCTATATCCTATGGGACTGTATAAGCAAACTTAATATAATCAACCAATGGAATTCACTGGAGCAGATATATATTGACTAATTTGTCAGTAGGAATGCAGCGTTTCCAACAAGTACAAGAATGAATTTGTGTTGCTCGTTTTAGTGACAATAAGTCCATGTCATTCTCAAGCCTTAGGGGTGCTGCATGCCACAGAGGAATGCCACAAAACATGGGAATCCTCTCACTTTTCATGAGCCTTTCCCATTCAGCTGGATTCTTGACCACTTGGTGTTCTAGAAACAATTCAGCAATATAGACTATTATTTATATTATCTTTCACTTATGAAAATGACACAAGTCAGTTGTCCCTTCAATGGGCAGAAAATATTCCTCAAGAGAATATCACAAATCTAGGTATCCCTATTAAAAGATTCAGTATTTGGATTGCTGGGTTAACTGAAAACTGTGTAAAATTACATGTAAGGTCTAATTCTATTCAAATTGAAGTCAATTGGATTTTTAAGAGAAATATGATCAGACATATACAGGCTTTCTATTGACTATGGGCCTGATTGAGGAAAGCATCCCTTTCAAGAAAGCTCTTAAACATGTGCTGGATCAGGGCCTAAAGTATTTGAGGAAATCTATAGGTGGGTTTTTTTAAACTAAAAAACCCTCTGTTGGGCTAATCCCTGCCCAATTTGGGGAAATCTTTAAACCAAAACATGTTAGATACATTTTAAAGAACAGCTGAATCTGTAAAAATGAGTAATTTTAAACAAATGTATTTAATTATTTATACTGTCAAAGATGTGCTTGTATCTATCTCCTACTCAGGAAGCATCTTTTGAGCATAGTTTGATAAACACCTCAATTATGCAAAGATGGCCAAAAGATTCTAAATATGGCCATCAGTTACGGAGAAGGCATATCTTAAGCATAACCTGAGAATAGAGATCAATGATAGAGTAGATACATTACCTTATTTCCTCTGAAGATTTTCCCATATCTGGCAATGACAATCTTTCCAGTACAGTTAATTCCCATCTCTCTCTCCAGTTTGAAAAAGTCTTCAGTACGGCCATAGTTGACGTACACCAACTCACCCTAGTAGATGAGAGACACAGTGAGAACGGGGATATCAGTGAGCATAAGAAAGGAGATGTGCTCTAATAAGGGGGCAATCGGGGAGCAAGGAACTCAAGTTATAACCCTGGGTCTGATGTGGGATTAAAGAACCTGAGTCTGCGAACTGCTTGAGCACCTTTATCTCCCATTGGCTAAAATGGGAGTTGAGGGTGCTCAGAACCTCACAATGGGAGATAAAAGTGCTCAAGCAGGCTCTTTATCTTCCTGATCCTGTGCCCACTGAAGTCAATAGCAAAGCTTCCATTAACTGCAGTGGTACAGGATTGAAACCCCATCAGTTTCCCCATCTGTAAAGCGGGGACGGTAATACCTAGCTACTTCACAGGGATGTTGGGAGTCTTAATTAATTAATACTTGAAGATTAAAAGTACAGCATAAGCGTTTCTAGGTATTATTTTTACGAAGGTAATGCTTTTGGCTTTGCTTTAGTAACAAAGACGTTAGAAGACATTAGTTCTGTGGGTGGGTTGATAAAATGCTTGAAATCTTTGTCCCAAAGCTATTGGAACATTGTACCCCAACTCCTTCTTTTCAATGAACTCAAGAATAACATGGATCTGCTAACGACTCTGTTAATAGCAGATCCATTGTATTCTTGCACTTACAGAAAATGAGGAGTCGGTGCAATTCTCCAGTAGCTTTGAGGCCATTTGTAAGTGGGTTTATGGCAAAATGGATACAGTATATTTATTCTGGGTGTGCTGTAAATCTTTATGTTGTCATTTGGGCTTGGTCTACACTGAAAAGTTATATAGGCATAACTGCATTGGTCAGGCGTGTGAAAAAAACCTACCCCTCTAACTGACATAATTATGCCAACAAAACCCACAGTGTAGAAGCAGCTATGTTAGTGGAAGAGTGCTTCTGTCGACATAGCTAATATGATTGGGGGAGGTGGTGTTCCTATTGAAAAACTCCTTCTGTTGGCGTAGGCTGCATTGACGCTAGGAGGCTGTGCCGGTACAGACTCCATAGTGTAGACACAGACTGAGTCAATATGAGTTCTCTTACATCTATTTTGAAAAAGAATTTCATGTTAATTTACTACTACTATGCTCCAACGCCCCAGTCAGGCACAGGGTACTAGGTGCTGTACAAATACTTGAGTAGTCACAATGTCTGCCCCAAACTGCTTACAATCCAATGAGACACCAAAGTAGGTGTGACAAATAACAGGACGGAATGGATTAGAGAGGACACGGGTGACCATTCTATATTATTCCTGTAATTTTAGCAGTGTGACGGGCATATTTCAGACAAGTATAAAAACACGAGGCCAGAACTTTGGCTGGTGTACATGGGCATAACTCCAATGAAGTCAATGGAGCTATAACTCTCACCCACTGAGGACCTGGTCCTTGGTTACTGCCTGAAAAATCAGTGTCCAGATAGATGTCACACAAATGTAGCAACAGAGGAAGGAAGATACCACAATGATGGAACACCGGACTGGATGGGACCTCCTGGGTCATCGAGTCCAATCCCCTGCTGTTACAGGCAACCCCATCATATAATCCCATTCAGAAATTTATCTAGTTCCATCTTTAAAGCCAGGTAAGTTTCTTGCCCCCACTACTCCTTTTGGGAGGCTATTCCAGAACCTTACTCCTGATTAGAAACCTCCTAATTTACAGACTAAATTTACTCCTGGTGAGTTTATATTCATATGTTCTTGTGTCAACAGTGTCCTTCCCTCCCTCATGTTTACCCTCCACAATCTACCTATAGCAAACAATTATATACCCGCTAATTTTTTGTTTTGCTAGGTTAAACAATGGGCTTTTTTTAAATTTTGGGCTTATGAATACTTCACTGAGGAGATGACCAGGGTTTGCAAGCCTATTGGAAGAAGTGCATACATTGGGAGGCACTGAGGACCCCTCGAGGAGGTTCCTTGCATAAGAGGCAACTTGGAGGCAAGAGTGGGAGAAGAACATGAAGGGGATGCCAAGTTGGGCATCTTGGTTGGAATGAAATGGGTGAGTAGGGGAATCAGAGAAGGACAGAGTGGAGAGGGAATGGGAACCTGGTTATGCAGAGCCTTGAAGGCAAGGACATGGTGCTTGAGTTCTAGGTGGAGGGTGAGGGGAAGCCAATCAAGGGTCTGGATGTGGTCAGAGAAGTGAACAAGGAAGAGGATTTGGGTGACAACTTTTTGGGTAGATTGAATGGGATGAAGGGGACTGTCAGGAAGCCCAAAGAGGAGAAGGTTACAGTAACTGAGTTGAGGTATAGCCAAGGTCTATCGGCACAAGAGTTTTGTTGATGGGAATGGAGAGGAACAGGTGGATTTGGAGGATTTTGCACTCTTTCCCCAGCCCCTTTTTCACCCATGAAAGGGCCATGAGACAGGAGAAGAGAAACTCTGAATGCAGCAACCGTAGCAGTTGCAAGCAGAGTTGGCTGAAATGTTACCAGAGTTTGAGATGAAAACACTAAACAACCCTACATCTTGACAAAAAAAACTGGGAGGATGCTGAACTAGCAAGAGAACTAGTTGGAATTCTTTGATTTGTCTACAAATTTTAATACTATTTTAACAAAATATTCATGAATATTTTTACCATCTTTTCAAGCAACATTTATAGCTGCATCCTGCCAATTCAGCCACTCACAGGCTGGTTTCCTACACTTTTGCATAAAAATAGTCCTTTGTATTTACATTTCTTCCAATAGTTAAATCACTTTCATTGAATCAGAATCAAGTGGTGGCCTGGTTGAACCTGAAAGTTTGGGAAGATGGTCTCCTATTTGCTACTCTATATACAGGTGTTTGTGAAGTATGGAACAATGGTATCTATTTTGAAGCAGTTGCCATCCTAGCAGCATAAATAAATACACCTGTACACAGAATGGCAGATTTTTCCAATCTTTCACATTCAAAAATAGCCTTGGAGCTTGGGTTTTAATGGAGCTATTTAGTTACTGGAAGAACATATATAATGAATTATCTGTATGCATTACTGTGCACATGAACAGTTATTTTCTCCTTTAATTCCAAAAAGGTACTACAGTGAATCTCTTCACTGTGGGCTGCTGGCATCGAGAAGCATATTTCTATAAAACAGTCGTATAAAATATGACCCACTCAAGAATTGTTCTTGAAGGGTCAAAAGGGGGATATGTAGTAGTAGTAGGATTTTATGTTTGTATTTTTATAATAAAAAAATAACAATGTAGCATGTATTAAATGTATTGGTATATGATTTGACCATATCCGGACCCACCCTTTTTAAATAGCAGAAAGGAATGGGCCATTGGTAGAGACGCCTCAGCCAGAATCTGTGTCTGGGCTGATTTCAAAGCAGTAACAGACCCTTTAGGGTCACCACTTCGTTGTAGGTTTAGCATTTTAGAATACATAAAAGAATGCAATAATTGTTTTTCTCTTGCATTGCAATTTGATGTTCCTGTTCAAATGTTCTGTGTAAATCAATTCTGTTTTGCGTGTGAATGAGAAATGTGTGTGTTTAAAAAAATAAATGTAGAAGCCATCACCGAACCAAATGTTCTAGAAAGGAACCAAGAACAGACGCAAGAGCATCAGAAAATTACAACACGCCCCTATTAAAATGTCAAAAAAGGGCAAATTAACAACTCTAAAATAAAACAGGCACTTATCAATGGGGACAAAATAGCTGTAATCAAAACCAGCATGGGGTAACTCCCTAAAAAACTTAATAAAAAAATAAAAAGAACAATTTAAAAAAACAAGCACTCAAACAACAATTAATTACAGCATGACGGTGCAAAACTCATTGGTTCCAATAAAAAAAAATCCACTTTATAAACAAGGTGCCTTGCCATACAACTTTAGGTTCATCCTGCCAAGACTTCTCCGGAGCATCATGTCGCGACCGACAAAACCTGGCTCCTACCTACCCGTGATCGACCTAGCTGGCCACTAGATTGATCCGGACTGGTAACTATAACATCGACTGGTGTGACAGCATGTGTGTGTGATTAAATGCATATGTTAATTGCTGTATCTTCAATAAACGCAGTGTATTGCCTTTTCCCCTGAAAAAGATCCCATGTGCTTCTTATAAGCATAACAGCCTGTCTTTAGAGCCCCGCGTGGATTCAAAAATGTGGATCTGCATCCGATCCACATCCGCCAGGATCAACCCGCGATCCGCTAGCCGTCTTTTACCTGCATCCGTATCCACACCCACAGCAACAAGCCATCTCACAAAGGTTAGCAACGGGTGGGGGGGGGGGGTGGAAGGGAAGCAAGGAGGGGGCGGGTCTTGCAGGGATGAGGCAACATGAGGGTGGGGACTACTCCATACAAAGAATGGACTCTACTTAAGCCAAACACGATGGGCCAGATCTTCAGCTGGTGTAAAGCGGTGATGCTCTGTTGAAGTTAGTGGAGCTGATTTACACCTGCTTGAGGTTGTGGCCTGGTTTGTTCAGACCAAACGATATGTCCATACTAAGATGATTTTTTGTAACAGCTTTCTGAAACCCTACCATGGGCTTGAGTTTCCACATGCTTTCACCAGTGTAAATCATCGGGAACTCCATTGAAGTCAACAGAGTAACACTAGAGTCAAACCACTATAAGGGAGAGGAGAATCTGGTCCATTCTCTCATCATTATTTCTATAGAATGTCTAGTACAGAATCCCCAATTTTATACATCTCCATATTTGTCAGCCAATACAAAAATGCTGATTTGTGTGCATTCATAACTGGAGAGCTGTAATTATACCAATTAACGGCAGCCTGCTGGGTTTCCACAATCAGGGAAATTGTTTTACAGTGAAAGAATAAGCCAAGTCACCATAGGAGTTAAAATTTATTGTTAAAACCTTTTCAAACAATTCTATAGCTTTTCATTTTTATGAATTCCTTGATTAAGCAAAGGTAATCACTGCAACATGCAGACACAATCCCACTTTAAGAAATACAATCAGGAAAATTAAGTACAATAAAAAGAGTCACTTATCTGAA